TATGATAATCTATAAGGAAAAAAATATCAAGTGGGATCTTGTTAGATTCGTAATAATATGTAATTTTCATAACTTTTTTTATTACGAAATTAAATATATGTAGCGATAAAGTGCCACGCATAAACGATAATAAATAAAAATAAGCTGAACTAAACAAAACCCAAGGGCTTGTTCTATTTAGCTTAATTTCAATTCAGTTCAGTTTTCAATTTTCTTGTAAACAATTTAGTTCAGTTCAGTGTCAAACTCAAGTTTGTTTTTAATCATCTAAACAAATAAGAAACTCCCTTGAGAAAGAGGGCGAACTTCCTTGCGAGAGAGGGTACTCTACCAATTTTATCGTGGTTTTTCTCCGACAGTATGGCCGACGAATTGAGTGAAAAGTGCTCTAAACTAAAAATTCATGAGGAGGAGAACGAAATTGTTGACTTTGGTGATGTTGATTTGACAGAACAGGACACTAGGGTTTCTCTTATGCTTGTTGGGAGACTCTTGACAGATCGTGGTGTGAACGTTGAGGCTTTTAAGAAGACAATTTTGATTAGGACTATTGGAACAAATTTGTTTTGTTTTCCAATTCTTCCATTGGCGTGACAAAGAGAAGGTCCTTGCGGGGTGCCCATGGTGTTTTGAACAAAACTTATTAATCCTTAACTCGATCAAAGGAGATGAACAGCCAAACGAGGTTAGTCTTACACATGCCCCCTTTTGGATTCGTCTTGAAAATTTGCCGTTTAATTGCTGCTTCGATGCTCATGTTAAGGCTATTGCCTCGAATTTGGGGGAAATAGTTGAGATTGAAGATGATATTCTAAGCATTGGAAAAAACCGTAGAGTTAAAGTGTTGCTGGATGTTAAGAAACCTCTTCAGAGATACCAGAACGTTGGAAACAGGGAAGGAATTGTTGTCAAAATTCTGCTGAAATATGAACGACTCCCGTTATTTTGCTTCTCGTGTGGGATTATGGGGCATAGTGAACGAGATTGCATTAATACTCCGGATGGCGATCGTAATCAGGGATTGGGTTGGGGAATGTGGCTTAAGGCATCCCCAATGAAGGGTAAAAAGCAGAGTGTTGATGAGATTCGGGAATTGCAGTCTGCAAAGAAGCTCTTTTTTGTAACAAAGCAAGCTGATGAAGAGCATAATATGGGGGGTAAGGAGGATGTAAATGGTGAGAAAGGCTTGGTGGTGGGGAAAGTACTTGCTGGGAAGAATAAGGGGGTGGTTGATGGTGTGAGTGCGCTAATTGAGGGGAATAAGGGGAGTGGTACGAATATTATAGGGGAGGAGCAGGAAGCTGGGGTTTTGAGACAAGGGGTTGTCTCAAATCAATTGGTGGTGGGGGATGTTAAGGGGAATTTGTCTATTACTACTGATGGTAGGCAAAGTGGGACTGATGTAGGGACCGAGGGTGATTTAGTTATGCAGGGGGGATAAGGGGAGTGTGGAGATGGGAGCTAGGGAGTTAATTAATAATAGCTTTGTGCCTACTTTTAATATTGGTCTGGGACATAACTCCTCTGACTCATTGAAAAAAAACAAAAAAGAAATTGAGAGTTTCTTCTAATGCTGTTGCCAAAGGGAATGCAATGCTCATTGATGATAGTGGGGGACTGAAAAGGAAAAACTGGGGGGTGAGTAAGGAGGGGGGCCAGGAGGATGGGGTGGAAGATGTGAAGAGACTGAAGTGTGTGGGTGACTTATCTAATGCTAACCTTGTCTTTAAAGTAGCGGATGTTGGCGATGACCAACTCCGCGAACAACAATGAAAATATTAGCATGGAACTGTTATGGGCTTGGCAACCCATCAACAGTTAAGGCTCTCCAGGATTGGTGTTGGAGAGAGAGGCCAAATGTAGTTTTCGTCTCGGAAACTAAAATTGATTCACAAAGGTTAGAGTTAATAAGAAACAGATGCGGGTTTACTAATGGTTTGTGTTTTAGTAGTGCTGGTCGATCGGGAGGTATTGGTTTATGGTGGAATAATCTGAAAGTGAATATTTGTAGCTTTTCTGATCACCATATTTATGGTGAGGTTTGCAATAATGACAATGTGCCAATTTGGAGGTTAATGGGTATTTATGGGTGGCCGGAAGCTGCTAATAAGTACTTGACATGGGACTTGATGAGATCCATTTATACTTCTTCACCTCTCCCGATTGTGATGTTTGGAGATTTTAACGAGATTCTTGGCATGCATGAAAAAGATGGTGGTGCTATCCGTGGAGAGAGACAAATTGACGCATTTAGGGAGGCTATTGATGATTGTGATTGTCGTGATTTGGGATATAAAGGGAATGTTTATACGTGGCAGAGAGGGAATTCGATGGACACTCTTGTTCGCAAACGACTTGATCGATATGTGGCTAGTAGTGGTTGGTGTTCTTTATTTCCATCTTTTGAGGTAATTCATCTCCCAATTTGTCACTCTGATCATGCTCCGATTTTGTTGAAATTTGGTGAAGGCGAGGTGGAACAAAAAAAGAAAAAAATATTCAGATTTGAATCACTTTGGCTGTCTAAAGAGGAGTGTAGGCAGGTGGTATCTGATGCGTGGCTTGTAGGGGTGAATGGCCTGATTCATGAGAGGATTGCTCGGGTTGCGGAAGGCTTGTCTTCTTGGGCTGATACTACCTTTGGGGTTATTAAAAAGAAGATAAGTAAGGCTGAGACTCGGCTTCAAGAGGTGCAGGGGCAACAATTAGATGCTCGTCGATTGGGCTTGTGTATTAAGATCGCTCAAGAGCTTGGGGAGCTTCGAAGACTTGAAGAGTCATATTGGCATGCACGTTCAAGGGAGAATGAGTTGCGGGATGGTGACAAAAACACAAAATATTTTCACCATAAAGCAAGTCAGAGGAAAAAGAAAAATACAATTGTTGGCCTTTATGATGAGAATGGGGTATGGAAGTCGTCGAAGAATGAGACGGGTCGTATTATTACTAGCTATTTTAGCTATTTATTTGCATCGAGTAGGCCGGAGGATTTTGATGAGGCATTGTCTGGAATTGATAAAAATGTAACTGCAGAGATGAATGACATTCTTGATACAGAGCCGACGGCAGAGGAGATTAAGGCAGCTTTGTTTCAGATGCACCCGAACAAAACTCCGGGCCCGGATGGAATGCATGCCCTATTTTTTTAAAAAAATTTGGGGCATTATTGGTGGTGATGTGGTCTGTTTCGTGCAATATTGGTGGAGGGGTGAAGTTGATTTATCGGAGGTAAACCGTACTTGCATTGTTTTAATTCCGAAATGTGACGAGCCTAAGCAAATGACTGAGTTTAGGCCTATTAGTTTATGCAATGTGTTGTATAAAATCATCTCAAAAACACTTGCAAATAAATTGAAACCTATGCTAGGTTCTCTTATTTCGGAAAATCAGAGTGCTTTTGTTCCTAAAAGGCTTATCACAGATAATACACTGAGTGCCTTCGAAATTTTTCATTCCATGAAAAGGAAGGGGGAAGGTAGAGATGGTAATGTTTCCCTAAAGCTTGATATGAGTAAAGCTTACGAGAGGGTAGAATGGGATCTATTTCTGGTGCTCTAACTCCATCTCGGGGTCTCCGATAAGGGGATCCAATTTCACCGTATTTATTTCTGATATGTGTGGAGGCATTTTCTTCTCTGATTTCTAAAGCGGCATCAGATAAGTTAATTCATGGAGTAAGTGTTTGTAGGGGGCACCTAGGGTGTCTCATCTTTTCTTTGCGGATGACAGCATATTATTTGCAAGAGCCAATTTGCAAGAATGCTCTAAAATTGCTGATATAATCAGTACATATAAAAGAGCTTCCGGTCAGAAAGTCAGTTTATGCAAAACAGAAGTAGCTTTTAGCAAATGTGTGACGTCGGATAGAAGGAAGGAAATTATTGAAACTCTTGGTGTTAGAGAAGTGGATAGACATGAGAAGTATTTGGGGTTGCCGACTTTAATTGGTAGATCAAAGAAAGCACTGTTCACGTGCCTAAAGGAGCGTATTTGGAAGAAACTTCAAGGGTGGAAGGAGAAATTATTATCTCGTCCGGGCAAAGAGATTTTAATTAAGGCGGTAGCACAAGCAATTCCCACTTATATGATGAGTATCTTTAGAATTCCGGATTGTCTTATTGATGAAATTCACTCAACTTTAGCCCGTTTCCGGTGGGGTTCTGATAATTCGAACAGGAGGATTCATTGGCATAGATGGGAAGGGGGTTTAGAGACCTTAAAATTTTTAATCTGTCACTTCTCGCTAAGCAAGGATGGAGGTTATGTGTTGATAATAATACAATGTTGCAAAAAGTTCTCAAAGCTAAGTACTATAAATATTCTGATTTTTGTAGTGCTTCTAGAGGCTTCGATCCGAGCTATTCGTGGAGAAGTATTTGGGGGGCAAAATCCTTGCTCCTTGAGGGATTGGAATGGAGAGTGGGAAATGGCTCTTCGATTAAGGTCTGGGAAGAGGATTGGATGGGTGTTGATGGTTCAAGTTCTAAGCCGACTCCTCAATTGCACTGTGACATTGATTTGCGGGTGAGTGAATTAATTGATTTTGATAATATGTGCTGGGATTCCGAGAGGGTGGCTGCCACTTTTTGCGAAGAGGACTGCTTGAGAGTCCTTGACACTCCTCTGCCGTCTGTTTGGGAGGAGGACAGGAGGTTCTGGTGGCCCACCAAGTCTGGCCTATTCTCGGTTAAATCTGCTTATTGGCTTGGCAGATTAGGCAACACTCATGGGAATTGCTTCATGGTGACAATGAACATCAACTCTGACGTGATGTATGGAATTTGAATGCCCCTCCAAAGCTACGTCACTTCATTTGGAGGGCTTGTAAAGGGTCTCTTGGAGTAATGGAATTGCTACATTTTCGCCACATACAACCTTCAAGTAGATGCTCGATCTGTGACGCGGCTAGTGAGTCTATAATCCATGCCTTATTTTATTGCAAGCACGCTATGAGTATATGGTAGCAGAGCGAATTTCTGGATTTATTAAATGACGCCCCAATGTCTTCTTTTCAAGACTTGTTCTGCTGGGCTTCGAGCAAGCTTGATAAAGCACAGCTACGAACTTTCTTGTGCCTTGCGTGGGCGGGGTGGTGTTGCAGAAATAAGGCTATTTTTGGCGACACTAACGAGATCAATGGTGTGATGATTGCTGCAAGTTTCGTCAGAATGTGTGAGGATTATTGTGTGTACAATGCCAGAGTTGGAGGATGTGTGCTTGCTCCTATTTCCTTCTCACGAGCTAGCTGGATTCCGCCACAATCCCATTTTGTCAAGGTCAATATTGATGCATATGTCCCTAGCAATGGTGGTGTGTGCCTAGGTGTAGTTATAAGGGATGAATGGGGGAAAATTCTGCTGTTAGCAACGAAGAAAACATCTTGCAGATGGTCCTCTGATATGGCAGAAGCTGCGGCTGCCTGCTATGGTACCCAGCTCGCACGTAGGTTCAGCTTTACAAATGTGATACTTGAAGGTGATTCCATGATTGTGGTGCGTGCTGTTAGAGATAAGCAAGAGGGTGCAGCTCCGATTTTTCATTTCTATGAGAGTATCTATAGAATGAGTGCTGAGTTTGTTGAATTTAATTGTGTTCATGTTAGACGGGCGGGGAATACCATAGCTCACTTAGTTGCTAAAAGGGATACGGGTGCTAGTATTGAATGCATTTGTACGGATTCTATACCCCAAAGCGTTCAAACTTTGGCGGACCTTGATTTTATAAATTGATTCCCCGTGTTTGTCAAAAAAAAAAAATTAGTTCAGTTCAGTTTAATTCACTTCAATTCCGTTCAATTATTTTTAATAAATCGAAACAACCCGTAAATGTGAACAACTTAATTAAAAATGAAGAGAGTATTTAATGCCTAATGGCGTACGTAATAAGCATGGCGCAAGCCTAAAAAATTTCCTTACCTCTAATTTCAGATTTTTACAAAAAATTTATTCTTTTTAAAAATGTTCTATTCTTCAAAAAGTTATATTCTCTCTGACTTTCCAAAACATATAAAAATACAAACCAACCATTCAACAAAAAAAAAAAAAAAAAAAAAAAAAAAAAAAAAAAAAAAAAAACCAGAATTCCTAACTCTCTTTGCAAACCACAATTTCAATGGCGAAGAGAGAGGATGGAATTTCCTTCGATGGAATCATTGGAGCTATGCCGATTTTTGCCAAGGAGCTTATTGCCGGCGGTGTTGCCGGCGGCGTCGCTAAGTCTGCCGTAGCACCTCTTGAACGAATTAAGATTCTTTTTCAGGTGATTTTCCGATCCTCAATTACTTTTAATTTTATGTTTTATTTCGATAATGTAGGGGTTTTAATTGTGAATTTTGCTTGATTTGAAGTTTGTTTGAGGTTATTTTTTATTTTATGATGAAATTAGTTTGTTATTGAGTATAATTTGGATCGTATTTATGCAAGTTAGGTTTGGATTGGTACTAGGTGATTTTTTTTTTTGGTTTTTAGATGATAATAATCTTGAGGAAGATAATTAACTCGTTGAATGAAGTTCCATGGTATATGGTGAGAGCCGGGAAGCGCGAAAAGAATGTGTTTTGAAGGGATATAGTTGGAGAGTATGTTGTTCTGTGAATGAAGCTAGTCTAAATTAGGTATGGAAGATATTGAGAAGGAAGTGTAATTTGCTGATGAATTTATATGATTTTTTTATTGAAGGAGCTTAAGTTGTGTGCTACTTAAAGTCCTGATAAAATGGAAATTCATTGCTGAGAAAGATAAGGTCATGGTATAATGGTGAAGTTTTGGCTTGATTCATTATTTATGGAAAGGTTGGAAACTATTGGTTTGTTGGTTGAAGTCTAAAGTAACTTGACAAATTGTGACTGCTGACTGATTGCAGGCATGGTATTAGATGGGATGAGTATGATATTGGTGGGTGTTTTTCTAATGGTCGAGAGTCGTTAATGACTGCAAGTACGTAGTAGAATTTACTTATTAAGCTTAATAGTGTAGTGAACCAATTGTAATTATCTTTGGTTTAGAGTTATTGTACTTACCACATATCCCTAGGGGGGGTGGAGGGATACTCGTGAAATACCATTTGGGAAGGCAGTTGGTCTCTATGGTTAGAGATATATGAGAGTCTTGAGGTGCTTATTTAGCTGTCAGTAGGGTTGGCAAAAAATCAGGAAAATCCAAACTGTTATTTTAGATTTAGCATCAACTTTTTTGTTAATTTTAAATAAATCAAAATCGAAGATGAACTGAAATACGAATGATCGAATATCACTTGTACATAGGCTAAACCGCCGTTGCTTTTGTGTGTGTTTGTTCTACATTTTATTTTGTATTTTATTCCCAGTAGCACCCCCTCCATATCAAGCACCACCTTTGCAACTGTCAATCACGAATTCACCATCACCACCACAATCACCAAGATGAGTAACAACCAAACACCACAAAAACAAAAAGAATCCTTAAGTCCTCTGCCTCTACTCCCTCCCTCAACCAAGTTACACCTCTAAACCATGATTACATCCTCATTTCTGCTTCCTTTAGTAGAGAGGGAAAGAAATGCACCTAGGAGCATTGTTCAAGAGCTGACAAGGAAGAAAACATATGTAGACAGAAGCTTCTTTTATCAACACTATTTTTTTTTAAGGAAAAAGATTTGTAGGCTATACTTAGATAACAATAACCTAGAGGAAGGGTAGGCCCTTATTAGTCGTTGAATCTTCCCAAAAAGGTTGCGATTTTGAAACCTTGTTGGCTGTATACTGTATTAGAACTTAAGGCTGAGAGTGCTAATCACTTACGCTAGGAGAGTAGAATGATAGATGTGCTATTGTTCAAGAGTTTGTTACAGAAATGATAGCCGGGTAAATAAGGATATTAGTAAGGAGTTTGTTATACATCTAGAGTGAAGGAAAAGCATGTTGGAGAACGTATAAAAACTAAAAAGGTGATGGAGACTCATAGTATGGGCTTCCAGAGAACTAACCGCCAATGTCATTTTAGTAGTGGGAGAGAATTTACCTTTTGAAAGTGGTTGGTATTTGATTGATTACCTTAATTTATCGATATAATCCTAATTTAATTCACTATCTAAATTCTCTGAATTATTTTCCAATTATGTTATTCTGAGAAGAAGTAGCAGAGATGATTGTGATAGTGAAACAAAGAACAGAGGTGGTAAAGGGAAGACAAATGACAATGAGAGCGAAGGGGGCAAGGGTGCAAATGTGCAATGGTGGGGGAGAAGTGGTGTAGTTAGTATGGTGGGTGTTAAATATATGATACATATAAGTGAATCAATTTCTTATTGGAATTTAATACTTTCTTGATTTCTTTGCTTTTTTCCATTTTAAACTAAAGAGGCGTTAATGGTCTTACTTAACTTTACCAACTACTTTTTAGTTTTTTTGTTTATGAGAGTTGGCTATGTTCTTTCGACTTATTTCAAGAACTTATTACCTGCCCTTGTTATCATTAAATCGAAGAAACAAACAAAAAAACAAAAAGAAAAACCATAGATCTTGTTATTTATGTTTGCTTTTTGCTGGAATTTTGTAAGATTTAAAATTATGATTATTAGATATTTGGAATTACATTAATGCAAATCTAATAATTCAGGGTACAAGTATGGTCAAGTTCAACAAACAATTAGATAAAATTAGATCAAACCAGACTTAAAAAAAATTGGGACCAATAGTCTTAGAGTACCTTACTGATCTTACTTACTTTTAGTTGATATTGAGTGGATTCAGCTGAGTCGCAGTTATTTTATTGAAGGAGTGGGTGGTTGCACATGGCATATTGATCCTATACGATTTATTTCCTTGAAAATATTCTGTTCTTTTGCAAGTTGTAGTCATTTTAGATAACTTTTTTTTGCTATTTAATCACCTGAATTATGCAAGGCCTTAAGGGTTCCCCATGGAAGCTTTAGTCTTTCAGCTAGCTGAGGTCGGTGAAATTAGCTGAGGTTCGGTGAAGACATTTGTGGAGCCCATTCAAATATCAGATGGGTCCCTCTTTCCCACTTTCCAAAAGTAACTTCAAGGTAGTTTACGTGGAATGCATCAGTGATTTATTCGACCAATCATTATTGACTAGAGTAAAATCCTTGTGTTTTTGACTAGGTGTTGCCATGTTGGTGATCTTTGAATTCATTAGATTTTAAACTCCTCGATGAATCGGTGATGAGGGTCAATCTGAGGATGAAGATGCCTTATATACCCTTGAATGAGACATGAGCTGAGATCAACTTTTAAGTTTCTCTTAAACAATATTTGATCTTAGGCCATCTGGCATATGTATAAAGTCCGTAGAAAAAAGTTCACTGAACTCAATCACTAAAGCTTCACGAATCACGATAGCATCATAATATAAGACTTTGGTCTAATGAACCCAAAATTTTGATCAATTCGTTAGAAGAGATGGAATTCAATCTCTGAAGTCTATACATGCTATATGTAAATTCATTCTTTTTCTTCAAACTATTCTCTTGACGGCCTTAAAAATTATAATCTTTTGTCATACCTTCAAGCTTCTAAGTGACAAAGACTGGTATAACAATGAAGCCAGAAAATATAACAAAAGATTATTATTTTGCACATCTACTAATTTGAAAAGTTCACAAAGAAGCTGGAATGTATAACCAAGATCATTTTTTTATTTTGCACATCTACTAATTTGAAAAGTTAATCTACATTTGACTATAACGTATATCCCTTTTGTTGTTTTGCAGACAAGACAAGCAGAATTCAAAAGTATTGGTTTGAAAGGGTCAGTTACTAAAATAGCTAGAACAGAGGGAATACTCGGTTTCTACAGGTGGAAATTTTGATCCCAGATACATTTTACCAAGGGGGTAATATTTAGACAAACTCCAATTTTGTTTAAAATTTAAGTGAGTTAGCTGTTCGCATGAACTTTTTGGCTCTATTTGGACTGGATTTTACTTTTATGAAAAAAAACTCAAACATCAAGTTAGACTAGGATTCAAGATTTAGGATCCAAGTTTATGTTGAATTTTTCGTCTTTGCTATTAGCAATTTTCGGTTTTTGAATTTGATATTTGTTTCATTGATTATATTGTTATTATTACCTCCTTTTCATATCATTTGCAACATTTGCCAAACATGGATGTTTCATATAATTCTACCAATGTTTTCTTTTCTTTTTGAGCTGTCATTTGTTCTGTATCTCTATCTTTCTCTCTCTCTCTATTTAACCCTCAAAAACAAATTTTGCCTAGAAGCCAATATCACAAGAGTACCAAGACTCAAATCAATGCAGAAGTGGACTGTTTTTTTTTTTTTTTTTTTTTTTTTTTTTTTTGGGGGGGGGGGGGGGGGGATCTATGTAAAGGGAGAATAATATTGAAATTCAGTTTGGGTATAACTATAGTATGAAACACTTTAAATTTGGCTGACTTGACATAATCTGGGTTTAACTTGTTATTTAAAATTGAACCAATTTGGGTTGGGCATTGGAAATTTTTGTATCCCTGCATTACTGTCTCCTAACTATTTATACTGCGTGGGTTATGTTGTTGGTAACATAATTCTTATAAGGGTGTTCTTGTCAACTTTAGAGGAAATGGGGCAAGTGTTGCACGAATTGTTCCTTATGCTGCGCTGCATTACATGGCATATGAGGAGTACAGGCGATGGATAATTCTTGCTTACCCTGATGTCTGGAAAGGCCCAGTGCTTGACCTTGTTGCAGGATCTTTTGCTGGTGGAACTGCTGTTCTTTTTACATATCCCCTTGATTTAGTACGGACCAAGTTGGCTTATCAGGTAAACACATGGACAAACAGCTTATGATTCTTTCCTTAGAAAATGTTCTATTGGTGTCTTGTTTCGATCAACTTTCATCTTTCATGGAAATGTTCTAGTATTCATAAAATGTCTCATAGTGGCTGAATATAGCACAGGTTGTTGGATCTTCCAATTTAAATGTTAAAGGCCTTATCCATCATGAACAATTGTATAAAGGAATACGTGACTGCTTTTCCATGACATTTAAAGAAGCTGGTTGGAAAGGTCTTTACCGGGGAGTAGGTGTGCTGTTTACATGAAACTGTGTGTTTAACTATGTCTACATTCTATGGTCTCTTACTTACATGTTTTATTTCTTTGTCAGCACCATCACTTTATGGTATATTCCCATACGCGGGATTAAAATTTTACTTCTATGAGGAGATGAAGAGTCATGTACCTGAAGAACACAAAAAAGATATATTGGTGAAATTGACATGTGGCTCTGTAGCTGGATTATTGGGCCAAACCTTCACATATCCTCTTGATGTTGTTAGGCGCCAAATGCAGGTAGTTCAGCTCTACCTTCTAGACTTTTGATGTGATATCTATAGATATTTGTGGTTTAGATGTTATAGAACCCTAAAGGGCTGAAAAAAGGATTTATCTGACAGGTTGAGCGGATGTCTAATGCTAGTAATGCAAAGGGAACTTTACACACACTTGTCGCAATAGCTCGAGAGCAAGGTTGGAAGCATTTGTTCTCAGGGCTAAGTCTGAATTATTTGAAGGTAACCAACCAAGCTAAGGATCTCATCTAAACTTTTAATGCCTTCCAACACAAAATATGCTTTACTAAAGAGATATGTAGTTTACATGCATTGTCGTTGACTTTTGTGCTTCAGGTTGTGCCCTCGGTGGCAATTGGCTTCACTGTGTATGATTCAATGAAATTGTTCCTGCAAGTTCCCTCACGAGATGAAGCCATTATTGAAGTGGCTTCCAGTCATACAACTAACCAAACATCATCCCTGCATTCTTAAAAGGGATTCATTAAATAATAATTATACACCGATTAAGTATAGCATTGTGTAATTCAATTGTATGTAGGTATCATTATTGAGTTCAGTTGTATATAAGAACTGTCTCATTATACTACTTATTGTATCTAGTTTCACAACATTCAAGTCATATGAATGAATGTTTGGAATGAAATGATACGGATTTTTGCCCAGTGAAATTAAGATATTTCAATATAGTCTTCAAAAATTTTCCTTATTTTGGGAGTCTAATCTGGTGCAGATCTTTGCAGCATCTTTGTAGGGAGTTTGAAGTGAATAAATTCAGTTGGATTCGTCCCGTACGTAGTTCAATATGATGCTACAGAGATTGTGCCTACACTGAGAGGTTGCCAGTTTATGCCAGGTTAATCAACCACTCATCCTCTTTTATATCAATACCAGGGAGAAAAAAAAAAAAAAAAAAAAAAAAAAAAAAAAAAAAAAGCCTTCAGCTTTCATTATCGGTTTCTCTTGGTGTTCAAACCTCCATATTGACTGATTTTGATCCCTTTCTATTTGGACTTTATAATTTTCTTGCTAACTAGGCTGTATTTGGTTTAAATAGAACATTTTCAATTGAATTGTATGTATTATGAATTTATGGAAAGTAAAATGCAATGGAAATCAGATCTTCAACATCATATTCATGTGTATCTGAAGAACAATGGAGAACATCAACAGACAAAATCGAGCTCAATGGAAGCTTCAATGGAGGACATGGTCACCCCTACCCTTTGGGGTTGACCATACTCTTAATTTCACCTTTTTCATAGGGTTTTCGTTTAGATTTGGTGGCAAAGCCACCATCATCGTTAGTGGAAAGTGGTGTCAAATTTGTCGGTGAAAGATGATGTCGAAAATGTCAAAAGCAGTGGTAGTTGTGGTGTCAGTGGAAGAAGGCGGAGGAAGGAGATAACTGTATTGGAGGCTGAAGCATACGACGGAGGATGCAAGATGTTGATAACTTGAGCAACAACAATATGTTGTGTCATGTATACTGTTCAAGTTATTTACAAAATGACCATTAGTCTGAGAAAAGTTGATATTTCTTTAGATTCAAAATAATAATAAAAAATAAAAAATAAATAAAAACCTTTTCCATCCCTTTAGACTACATTTTTTCATTCAAACAAATTATGTACATATATATAAAAAAAGGAACACCAACATATACAACTATTGTCATATCACAAATATGGTCACCAGGAAAAAGATTGTTGGCACAATGGCAAGCCACAATGCTTGAAATGTCAAAATTTAGGCATTTGACAAAGAATTGTAGGTTCCCAAATGATAACCAAGCATCTTTACCATAAGTCGTCGTATTCGAGAGAAGAAAATTCATCTAAGAATTATGAGCTGAGTGAGATGTGCACCATGGAGGGAAGTGCTCCAAAGATTTTGGTTTTAGTCAGATGCATAAACAAATCAAATGTGTAGTTTATGTGAAGGGCATCACAAAATGAAAGAGATTTTTCATAATGATCTTCACAAATTTAAAGCAAGGGGGTGTAGCTACTAGCTATACTTCAAATTATTTATAGTTAGTGGGTTATTCACTAATTTGTTTCATTATTTTTAGTCAATTTTGTTTCTAGTAAGTCATTACGCATGTGTTTTTGGTAATGAGAGGTGGATTAAAGTAGTGGGACACTAACTTGGCCACTTCCTCTACATATCTAGCACCATTGTTAGCTTAGTTCTAAGATGATTTGGTTTTGTTTACAATTTATATACTAACAAGTTCTTTCCTTGTCTTTCAATGTGAACTAGTTTCTTATTCCAACATTCTCCACTATTGTAACATACGGACTTCTATGAATGTTAAAGTAGTAGTTTCGTAAATTGTTAAAAATTCATATGAAGCAACCAATTTACTCCCTTCGCCCAAAATAATCGACACGTTGCAATTCTTTTCACTATTCTTTCGAAGTATAAACATTGACTATTAGTACATCGACATGTGTGTAAAGTTTGACCGTGTCAATTATTCTAGAATGGAGAGAGGTATGATGAAACTTGAACACATGATCTTTGTATCACGTTGGCCCTCATATCAAAAGCTTAAGCTGATGTTGAAGCTCAGGATCGGTTTATATTTTCAATCATGTAGAGTATGTTTCTCCTGATCTCATATTCACATGATCACATCCCTTAGATGATTGCTAACTGAAGTCATGCTAACCGAATTCAATATGATTGAGCTAACGTTTTATTATGCTAGTGTGCATTGTGGACTGTACTTTCTTCAATCGGATTATCTTGTATACATACGTAATAATAAGGTATTGATCAAACACTTTTGCTTATCTATATATATTTATTTTGTCAAAATAAGAACAAAGGATGAAATAAGAGTCAAATTCCTCCATTTTCTAGCCATATAATTAGTTAAGCAAAGTCTAAGGTTAAGAAGTATGTATCTCAAGAGTTGCGGCTAGTTGGATTTGATGACGAGAAGTCGTTATTCATTGCATGGGTTGTCTTCAATTATTATATATTCAGATTCTTCTTTAGTGTTAGACCATGTGAAATTAGTTTTATGTTCATATTGTAGATTTGTAGATGCTTGAAAAGGGATCCATCTTACGAAATTAGTCATAATATTTTTTAGGAATCATATGCATAGGTCTTGGATTTTCACTTGGACAATAGAAAAAAATTTATAATTTCACAAGCATCAATCAAAAAAATTGTTTATTTGTAGGGGTCTCCAACTCTCTCCTAATATAGTTGTTTAGTTTTCGTTCTATCTTAAAGGTTTGTTACTTACATATTTGTATAGAAGAAGTTAAATTATGATTAATCAATTAGTAGATTGAAATATATTAGTGCAATTGTTCATAAGGTGCAAATTAACTGATGCATCCGAGTGTATAGTGATGTCGTGCTGATCATGATATAGCGATCAACATAATTTAACTTACATTTGTTATTTGATTTTGAATAATTAACTTCTACGTATTATGTTCATTTAATATATAATTTTAATATGACCCCATGTTCTTTTAATTATTGAAAAAAAAGAATTTTTTTATTAGTGTTTAACCGATTAGATATGTTCTTTGTCATTTTTTGGGTTTATGTTGATCATTTTTTTAGATCTTATGACTTAGGGCCTGTTCCGATTGACTGAACTCAGCTGAGTTGAACTGAACTGAACTGAACTGAACTCAACTGAGCTGAACTGAGCTGAACTGAACTTATTAATTAGTGATTTTTAACTACGAATTAGTGATCTTTGATTATTTATTACTATACATATGTGTATATACAAATGTACATATTAATAATAATAATAATAATAATAATAATATTATTAATTATTGATGATTATTATTATTATTTATTGATTATTATTATTAGTTTTATTATTTCAATTATTATTGTTATTATTATTATTATTATTATTATTATTTATTGATTATTATTATTATTATTATTATTATTATTATTGATTATTATTATTATTATTATTGTTATTATTATTATTATTGTTGTTGTTGTTGTTGTTGTTGTTGTTGTCGTCGTCGTCGTCGTTGTAATAAGAGCTTAAAAGAATGAAATTTGGCTTTATATCATCAGCAATATCATTAGACGTAAATTAAGAGCTGAACTGAACTGAACTGAATTTCAACGGAAGAGAACAGGCCCTTAGAGTTTATGTTCATCTTCATCCAAAAAAAAAAAAAAAGAGTTTATGTTCTTGGGTTAGCCAATATGTTATATGAATTTAGCCTTTACGTTGAATTGTGAGCATCATTGTATACACTAGTGTACAAACCAATTATATAATTGCCCTTTAATTTGCGTAAATTTATACTTCATACTCCAATCAATAATGGATGTATTGAGAATGGTGGATTGTACACATGGAGTACAATTTTATTAATTAATTTAAGATTGTACGACTAAATCACACATCGATAGATCAGTTGTAATTATTATTTAATTTAAATATCTTCACTGTTGATAACTTCTCATGTGCATCCTTTAATGTCACTTTCCCCAAATGAATATAGAAGACAATGAATATATTGAAGCTTCCAAAAATGGAACGCAGACAATTACTAAAACCGAGAGTAGTAGTATATGACAAAAGTAGTAGAAGTATGTTATTGCATTCTTATTTCTTAACCAAAATATTATAGTGAAGTTACAAATAAAAGCATCCTAGCATTGCCAACTACAACCCTTAGAGAAGGTGTACTGAATTATTCTACTTCAATGGCTTAGTGAACATAGAGTTCATATTGTTATTCGTTTTGTTTTTTGGCTTGTGATCGAGTTTCTTAGCAAGAAAGATTATTTCCAGGCGAAACACCAAGCTGCTTACAGTACTGAGTATAGTAACCAACACGAGCATTGACAGCAGGTGTGTTTCCACCACCACATTCTCCGCCATTGACAGCTCGAATGGTGGATCCGAACCCTTTGCCGGATACGATCCTAGAGTGAACATTGTTCATCCAAAACCAGAAGGCTGTCTTGAAGGCAATTACTGGATTGTTTGCAACGGTTTCTGGTGCATTGATACCGTCGAATCCGATGCTTTTACCTGCAGCTCCGTAGTTGTAGTTCCATGTGATCTGAATTGGTCCTCTGCCGTAGTATTGCTTGTTTGGGTTGCATGGCCATTGTGCACTTGATTGACAATAGGTTGATTTCGCAATCTCCTCTATGTAGCAAAAATCTACAATATAAAACAAAGTTTCATTACTAGTTTATTTATAGAGTTCAATTCGTACTAGATCTATATGCACGCAATGCAGGCTTTACATTTCAAAAAGAAATTTAAAAACACCAACCACTTTAAAACTATAACCCCTAAGTTTACATAACAGAAATATGTATGTTTTTATAACATCTTATCACACATTAAAAACAAAGTTGCTCTGACAAGAATTAGAAGATGACATTATGATAATAAGTTGTTCAAAAACTAAATATGAAGTATATATAATTAAGCAGAACAAATTTCTATTAAAACACTTACGTCCAGTTTCATGGGTGACATGAGCAAAGAAGGCGGCGACTTCACGTTTAGTATCATCGGAGGATCCGCCTTTACCGAACTGAGGATAGTTTCCAAGAGCATTCAAGAAAGCAGATCTGGTGTAGAAGCTCTTACCAGCACAGCCAGAGCCTGCTTGGTTAAGAATCCCATTAAAGAACGCGTTAGTCACCAAACTTTGTACCGAAGCACCACCACCACCTGATGGGGTAGTAGGGGTGGAAGAGTAACAAGGGCCTTGTTTGCACCCGTCGCCACAATAGGCTGCGGTGGTGCCACAATAACCATATTTGCTACAGCAAAGGCCGGAAGCACACCCACAGTTTTAAGCGGTAGTCATTGTGCATGACATACAAGCAATTGCCACGAGTATGGCGAAAATTTGTCCTAGAGAAGACATTTTAGTTGTTGAGTTTTTGAGTATGTGATGAGTTGATGACTGATGAATTAGACACTACAAAAATGGGTTTATATAGAGATCATCTAGGAAAGAAGACAAAGATAATGTATGTAGGATATCATTTTTAATATGTTCAAAATGTTGACATTTGACTTTGGACAGTCGTAATATGCGACTGATATTTTTGATCATGACTTTCATTATAATGAGCGAGTGGATAGATTTTTCAGAAAAAATAAAATAAATAAATAAATAATTGTAATGAGTGGTAGATATTACTTCTATATTATATGGATAAGGCCATTATTAGGGGATTCCGCACCAAATGTTCTAGTAGGTGATTTCGGAGTTGTGACTAGCTTTTTGACGTAATCGTTCCCTTCAACTTGTTTTTGATTTGCGATTATACTTATGTTTGTATAAAAAAAAAAAGTTTATAAATTAAAAGCTCAAGTTGTAATTTAAAGAATCTGATAAAGTACAACATGATCATGATCTTCTAGGAAGAAATTGAAAGAAAACATGGAATATTATTTCGATTTCACCAATTGCATGCATCTCCTCAAGATTAAAAAAAATATATAGATTGTGCCAACAAATATTACAAATTAAAGATATTTAGCGATAAAAAAACTCACATAAAATTACAAGGTATATATATATATATTCAAAATTTATTTTTTCAATTCTAATCGGACCTAATCAAAACTTATTTTTCTGGTCTAGTATTGAAATAAGCTGATTGAAATAAACAAACGGCCTTATAGTGAGTAGACCTGATTATTAGAGAAGGTAGTTTAATGATAATAGGGTTAGAGCCAAACTTATAGGACCTTTAATGGATAGAGTTTTAATTAATGAATATTGCCCTTATTAGGCAAAAAGACTTGCGTGGACCTGATCCACAATAATATATTATTGTGGACCCGAGGTCTATACACACGCAACTGACTTTATATTTAACATAGTGACCATTATTTTTAACATAGTAACCTTATTTTTAACCTAGTAACCTTTATTATTTTTTTTTTTTTGAAATAATAGTAACCTTTATTAAAACTACTACAACGTTTAATAATATTTTGAACTTGAAATACGATGCTATTACCCTAATTTTAACATAGTGGCATTTATTGTTCATATTGATCAGTATATAAAATATTTCATTACAAAAATAACCACTTAGGCCTATATATTACCAAAATGATTTTTATTTCAATATAATGACCTTTTTTAATTATAGTGACCCTTTTTTTTATTAATAAAACAACCATACTTTCTCTAATGTTATTGATCCATAATAAATTAGTGTGAACCAGGTCCATTTAAGAATTTGTACTTATTAGGTAGGGTTAATGTAGGGCTAAAATGTTTGTCCAATTCAATAAATTAGGGAAACAAATAATGTAAAAAAAAAATTGCATACATATTTTCGTATTCGTATGTTTTTAATTATGACTTTGTCCAATATTTATTTTAATTGATAGTTTGTTGGCTTGCTCATTATCGATCCGCATTGGCCTGACTGGCTATTGCAAAATATGTCACAAATCATCTTATTTATGACTTTGTCCAATATTTATTAATTATTATTATTATTATTATTATGCGAGATAACACCTAAAGCCAGTTTCAGTTTCAGGTAGTGCCTTAGTTTCCTGGCGTTGACCCATCACACGTGAGACTCCCGTGCTCAAATTAAAACCCTCCCGTTATATTTCCCCCTATTTTTCCTCCAATTGAACTTGTTTTCTCCTCTCAACCCTCATTAACTTTGCTCTATCTTCCTCACCATTACTACTCGGCAATGAACGACTGCCATGGAAGAAATGAATTCAATGCTCCAATTTGTGGGTTAATTTAGGGCCAAGTAAAAGAGTAGGTTTTAGTTTTTCTCTCTCGTCTAATTTCTAACTCAATTTCTACTTTTGTACTTAGCTAAATTTGTCTATCATTTTCTACCATAGGTAAAAAAGGAAGGTTGTTACAATGAGAACGAGGGACGGGCATAGATATCAATTGGAATACCACAATAATACTTTTGGCCCCCTTAAAATTACTGCCATCCTCATCACAGGACATAAATATCGATTGAAATACCGCAATAGTACTTTTGGTCAAAACGATGACTCGAAACCAACTTAAGGTGTTATCTCGCAAAAATAATCTGGTTTTAGGCGTGTTTTTGAAATTAAAAAAAAAATTATAAGGTGATTTTTCACAACAAAAATTGTTAGAAAAGATGGGTTCTCACAAATTTTCCTAAAATATTGTATGATTTATTTATAGTAATGATATGCATTACACAATTTGTCATTTGGGCCACAAAGTTTATCCCAAATTCAATCATCAACATCGGGAATTACCCATGCCCAAAATAGTAGTTAAATTAGAAATAATAATCTCAACTTTGATAAATTTTGTTAGAATAATCCCAATTTTGGATTTTTCTGAAATAATACGAACTTTGTGGGTTTCTCTTTTTCTTCAATCCCAAAAACTGGTGATCAGTTGAATTGGTTAATTTTTTGTTTTTTTTTAATTAAAGTGACACGTGTCATAAGTGAATTGGCTAAAACAATATATAAACAAAAAAAAAACCCCAAAATCCCAGCCACCAGCCAACCCCAAAAACCACTGGCCTAATCCCAAAAACCACCGATCAAACCCTAAACGGCGACACTAATTCCCCTCCCCTGTGCCGGTTTCCCCTCCCCACTCGCCAGTTCTTCTTTTCCCCCCAATCTCCTCCACTCGAAAATTGCCACTTAAAACCATATCTTCCACTCCCGAAAACCCCAAAATCTCATCCTCACCATCGAAAACCCTAACCGCTTAGGGTTTCGGGGTGGTTGGAGGAACGATTTGGGGTTTTTGGCAGTGGGGAGGGGTTTCATTGGTGGATTTGAAGTTTCGGGGTGTTTCGTGGAGATGGGCGGTGTTTTCGGAGATGGAGGAAGGCAGCGACGCGGCGGAGGTTGTTTCGCGAGTCTCCCCGGCGAGAAAGGGGCGGTAGGCTGGGTAATTGGGTGGTTGTTAGGGTGATCCGGTGGGGGAAGGGGAGGCTCACTGGTGGTTTAGTGATTTTTTTGTTTTTTATTATTTAAATAATTTTTTTTGAACCAATCAGGGCTTGACACGTGTCAAGTGACCTGATATAGTAGGTCATTGACTTTTGTTGACCGGTTAGGGATTGAAGAAAAAGAAGAACCCTAAAGTTCAAATTATTATAATTTAAAGTTGGGATTATTTTAGTAAAATTCATCAAAGTTAGGATTATTATTTCTAATTTTTCTTTTTAAATATTAATTTTTCTATTATTTGAACTTAAGCGTAAAGAAAAAACATTATGGTCAAAACGACAAATTAGTACATAAGCTAGTTGAATAAGATATAAAAAAAATAACAGAGGAAACATTAGAAAAACAGAAATTAGAGGACAGTAACAATCTACGGAGACGGAGTATATACTTTTATTTCATATTATAAGCTTGCTCATTATTGTATGAATTTGAAGCAGGTGTCCTTTTATTTTGCATGAATTACAATATAATAGTTGGTTAGTAGCATAGAGTAGCAACCAACACCCTTCTTACTATATTACATACTGATGTACTTAGCAACTGAGATTGTTCCCAGGAGAAACACCAAATTGATTACAATACTGTCTATAGTACTGAATCCGAGAATTGACAGCACCTGTATTACCACCATTACATTCGATGCTATTGATAGCTCGTATGGTAGAACCGAACCCTCGGCTGGAGGTGGAGTGGACGTTGTTCATCCAAAACCATAAGGCTGTTTTAAAAGCAGTAACAGGATTGTTAGCAACTGTTTCTGGTGCATTGATACCGTCGAATCCGATGCTTCTACCGGCTGCTCCATAGTTGTAGTTCCATGTGAGTTGAAGGGGCCCTCTGCCATAGTATTGCTTGCTTGGATTGCACGGCCATGTTGTGGTTGCGTTACAATAGGTTGATTTCGCTATCTCCTCTATGTAGCAAAAACCTACAAAATAAAACAAAGTTTCATTACTAGGTTCATATAAATCCACATTATTAGGAAGTGTAAGGCCTTAATATCAAGAGAAGGTTGGGAAGTAACTGTTGGTCATTGCTATAGGGAATCGAATAGGGTGGCTGATTGGCTGGCCAATTTCGGTGTATCCCTCAACCAAAAGTTGATGATTTTCGAGGCGGTCCCGATAGACCTTTGTGCTGTTTAATTGGAGGACTTGGCCATTTGGGTGGAAGGGCGATTCCAAGGAGCATCCCTCGGCGTGATGAAGCTTAGACTCGCTTGCTAGTGTTTTATTTTTCTGTTTTTTGTTCTGTTTTGTTTATTGCTTTCTGCTCTTTTATTTTTCTAGTTTAAGGTTTTTCTTTGTTTTGGGGTTTGCCCCTCGACTTCACCAAAATAAATAAAAAATAAAAAAAATAACACCATATGTAGGATGATTTTATAGCTGTCATTTGAACCATATTTTTTTAAAAATGAACAATTCAGATTTTATGATTTTTGAATTTTGGTAAGTGTTAATACTAATTAAAAATCAATTGAATTATTTCCAGGAATCAACAAAACTGAATTTCATAAATTAAATCAACAAAACTGAATTTCATAAATTAATTTGAAAAAAATTAATTAGATCAATTGATTTTCTAAAATTTAAAATGAATTCCAAAAATAAGAAAAATTAATTTTACCATTAAAAAATGGTTCAAAAATAATTAATCACAAATGTTTATTTTAAAAAATTGTGGTAGTTATTTTTCAAACGATGTATTTTCACAGGGTTATGGTTAAGATTTTTAAAATATATAATCACCAACCATTTTGAAACAGTAATTAAAATAGGAAAATTTTTTTTCTAATAATAGTCGTTTAAAATATGACTACCATAGTAATTTAATACAAATATATGACAATATGATCAGTTCATATTTTCATGTTATAATATGGAGACAATTAGTCTTTTAATATCAACAATGTAAATATAATTTTTTTAAACTTTTAATCCAACATAAAAAATACTTTGCAAAAAATTTCAAAATTAAAACTAAAATTACATAAATGAACCTAAAAATTGGATAAATAAAAAAAATGTTGATATATATGCTATTTTATACCAAAAACTAAAGAAATACAATTTATTACTTCAAGAAAAATAAGTCATTCATGAACAACATAATGATTAAAACATTATGGTATCCATATTTTAATCGACACTGTAAAATTTTCATCAATAACATTAGAATTTTTTAGGCTTTTTTTTTTTTTTTGCTTGATTTATCAATATCTCACCCCCTAAGTTTATATTGTACTCGTAGTTATGAAAAAATACATTTTCATATTATCTTATCTTACATGCCAAGAATTAGAGGAAACATTATGATACTATGTTCAATCTAGTAATAACAACTAAATATAAAGGGGAAATTCTCTGTTTCTCATGAGAGCATTTTCGTAAATAAATCAACAACATTTTCATTATTGTGGGCTCCACAATTGAATAAAGTTGAATAAAGTTATTGGTTTATTTATGAAAATGGCATGCACCTGAGAAACTGGGGCATCCTCAATATAAAGTATATTTAAGCATGAAGAACAAGTTTCTAATAACACTTACTTCCAGTTTCATGGGTGACATGAGCAAAGAAGGCGGCGACTTCACGCTTAGTATCATCGGAGGATCCACCTTTGCCGAACTGAGCATAGTTTCCGAGAGCATTCAAGAAAGCAGATCTGGTGTAGAACCTCTTACCAGCACAGCTAGAGCCTGCTTGGTTAATAATCCCATTAAAGAACGCGTCTGTCACCAAACTTTGTACCGAAACAGCACCACTGCCCGTTGAAGAGTAACAAGGGCCTTGTTTGCACCCCTTACCACAGTAGGCATCGCCGTTGCCACAATAACCATATTGGCTACAGCAAACGCCGGAAGCACACCCACAGTTTTGAGCTGCAACCATTGTACATGACATACAAGCCATTGCCACGAGTATGGCGAAAATTTGTCCTAGAGAAGACATTTTACTTGTTGAGTTTTTGAGTATGTGATGACTGATGATGAGTTAGACATTGCAAAAATGGGTTTATATAGGGATCAACTAGGAAAGAAGACTAAGTAAACGCCGTATGTAAGATGTGTTTTTTACATGTACAAGTTGATGACATTTAATTTGAGTTTGGACAGCCGCCATATCATGCCAATGATATTTTTGACTTGTTCATGTAATGAGTGATAGATTTTTTAAGAAAAAACTATGTATGGAGTGATAGATTTTTCAAGAAAAAAAAATGTATTAGTGATAGTCTGATAGATATAATGTTTCATAAATAAGGCCATTACTAGGGGATTCCCCACCAAATGTTCTAGTATGTGATTTCAAAATTGTGACTTAAATATTTGACGTATGTTCTCTTCAATTTTTTTTTTATTTTTTTTCTTTAATTATTATATTAATGTTTGTATAAAAAAGTTTATAATTGTCAAATTGTAACGAATGTTATACAGCACCACTATAATGATCGTCTAGGAGGAAATTGAAAGTAAATATGGAACATTATTCCCTTTTTCTCCAAATAAAAGTTCGATTTAAGTGATTTCACCACTTGCATCTTCTCATAATAAAAATTAAAAATAAGGTTATAACAAAATGTGGGCATAGGTCGTGCCATGTGGTCTCCCCATGTTGTGCTAGCACTTCTCTTGTTCAAAACAGGCTAAGAAATAGTTGTGTCAATATGTTGTGTCATGCCAGACTTGTACCAATCTTTTGTAAACAAAGCCCATTGCAGAATTCAAACTATGTCAATATATCATATCAAGGTTAAACCCAGTGTTGGGACCAAGGGGGGCTGGGCCATGGCCTCCCCCTTAGTATTGATTATATATTAATGAGTGATAGATTTTTCAAGAAAAAACTATGTAACGAGTGATAGATTTTTCAAGAAAAAACTATGTAACGAGTGATAGATATAATGTTTCATAAATAAGGCCATTACTAGGGGATTCCCCACCAAATGTTCTAGTATGTGATTTCAAAATTGTCTTTAATATTTGATGTATGTTGTCTTCAATTTGTTTTGATATTGATTATAATAATGTTTGTATAAGAAAGTTTATCAAAGTTTATAAAGGTCAAATTGTAACGAAGGTAATAAAGCACCAACATATGATCTTCTAGGAGGAAATTGAAAGTAAATATGGAACATTATTCCCTTTGTCTTCAAATAAAAGTTAAATTATTTCACTACTTGCATCTCCTCAAAATAAAGAAATGGGAGAATTGAAAATAAAATTATAATAAAAGATGCGCATAGGTCATGCCATGTAGTCTCATCATGTCGTGCTAGCACGTCTCTTGTTCAAACAGAGTGTACCTAAAACAGGCTAAGAAATAGTTAGTTGTGTCAATATGTTGTGTCATGTCAGACTTGTACCAATCTTTTATAAACAAAGCCCATTGTAGAAATCAAACTATGTCAATGCATGATATCTAGGTTCAACCATTCAACTCCATGGAATGCACTGATATATATAAATGGTAATTAAAAGTTGTAAAAACAACAATTAATTAAGTCTTAAAAATTATGGTACTATATATATATATATATATATATATATATATATATATATATATATATATATATATATATATATATATATATATATATATAATTGAGAAAAGTTGTTTCTTTTTGTTTGTTCTACTATCTCTATTTCATAATATAGTGCAAACAAATAAGTTTGCACATATTCTTAGGTAAATTTGTTTGTAAGAGTTAAATGAGGAGTGTAGACCCTCTTCAATAGTGAGACTCAATTGAGTAATTTTAGGAGAGAGAAAGTATTATACCCATAAGTTGGTATCTAAACTTAGTAACTCTAATATATTTTGTAATTTATTTAAGTTTTACCTTTCTTTTAATATTTTTTAATCTTATAATATTTGATATTAAAAAAGAAATGGATTTGGTGGGCCATAAATTGAAAGTAACATTTGTATATTTTTATAGAGTCTCACCATTGGGAAATTAGACTTCACATGAATTGCTAAATTGAGAAGTGTGTATGGTATCACCGTTGGAGGTAAAAAAAAAAAAAAAAAAAAAAAAAAAAAAAAAAAAAAAAACTCATTTTCTATTTCAATACTCAAATTTGAGTCACGCCATTGGAGATGACCAGGGTTAAATGAGGAGAGAAATTTAGAGATGCATGTGATGGTGAGAGAGATAGAGAGAAATGACAACTTAAAAAGGAAAGGAATCATCTGATGCACATAATGTATGAGTAGTCATTATTTTTAGGGTGTGTTTAATTTACCTGATTTTTACTTATCTGGACTTATTAAACCTTATTTTACTTGTGTTATAAAAAAAATAGGGAAATTATCAATGTACACCCGAGTTTTTGACTTTTCTCAATGGTACCATTACTATTTTTTTATTATCAACGGTACACCCAAGGTTCCAACTTATTAACTAGTGTGATTAGGTTGTTAATGAAACGTTAATAACATTCTAATTATACAGATTTAGGTCATTAAATGCATAAAATGTCTAAAATACCCCCTTTTAAAAAAAAAAAAAAAAAACCTCACATATCCTCCTGCCATAATTAACCCCTTCCCCTGGTATTTATGTTGATTGGACTTCCCATCTTCTGCATTCACCTCTGTTTCAATCATCTCTCTTGCGTCTGAATTAAAGAAGAAGAAAGTTAGGGTGTTTTGCGCAAGAAATCTTTCAATTACAGCCGGAGAAAAGGGGGATAAGTGTGGATCATCAGGTATGTATCACTTCCACTGTTAAATAAACGCAAAAAGGTTGTATGTTGTTCTGTTTCGAGTTATATAATGAGTAATTGTTTTACATATTTGCGAAATTCTGTGAATTTCATGATTATGTGGATTATGTTCAACTATTTTGATTATCTTGCAATGTTTAGTGCAATTATGTGCATGAATTATGCAATTTGGTTTAATTTTAGGTAGGATCATGGGATTTATGTTTAATTTTGGTATAATTATGTGAATTGGTTGAATTGTGGTATGGATTATTGATATGTTCATTTTATATAGTATTTTACCCCCATCCCTTGGTCATAATTGGTAGTGTTTTGGCTCTTTAGAGCCACTTTTATTACTAATTTGTGTTTTCTAGTGTTTTCATAGTTTTGGTTGAGTTTTGTAGGGATTTGCACTTTTGAAGCATTTTCCCGAGATTTTATGAAGTGAATACGAGCATTTGAGGAGCACGACCAGTTTTCGTAGCCCAGGGTCGGTTAGAGTCATCAAACCGGTAATAAGGGCTCAACATATATGATACCAAGGCATTTGGACCAAGTATTCAAGACCCGAAGAGGAAATCCGGATTGAGCTGAAGGATCGGAGCCCAATCAAGAGTCCAAGATAGCCCAAGAGCTTCGCCCGGCCAAAAATGGCTCTGCCCGAAGGCGCGCCCGACCGGGCGGGGCGAAAGAAGAATGAAGCAGCCCTTCGCCCAATCTCGCGCCCGGTGGGGCACGAGAGACGCACTTGATGGAAAAAGGCGGGCCCGATCGGGCGCGTGTTTTGGGGAGCATGTTTCCGGCAATTTTTACTTAGTTTCCAAATAGGATTATTTTAGGAGCTTAATATAAATACATTTTAGAGTTATTAGTTTAGGTTCTCTTCTCTAAGACTTTCTCCCTCTACTTGTTATTATTATTTTCTCTCTTTACAACTCCATACTTTGTTTTTGATTCGACTCTTTATTTTACGTTAATTTCGGTAACGATTTCTTCTCTATTAATTTCAGTAATTCTATTTCTTTTATTCACCATGTCTTCCTTAATTGCTTTGTTTAGTTTAGATTTAATTATGCGTGAGTAGTTTTCTTTCCAGGGTTTATGGGGATCCTTAAATAATATGAAAGGGTAATTTATCGTCGTTGATTGTCAATGCTTGATTAATTTCCTATTAATTGATTTAATGCTATGCAACTAGACTTGCGCAGGTCTATTATGTATGAGTTTAGCAACATTAATTCGATATTCGAGAGATGAGAATTGATATTTAGGCTTAGTTTCAATAGGCAGGTTAATTTATAAATGGTTAAGTCGAGATTCGAGAGATGAGATTTAATACCAGTAGATTAATTCTGTGATTGTAATACGTAGCGAAAGCCCTTTATGATATGGTTAATTGATGCGTTGATGATTGGTTATTATATTTTACCTTGGAATGTTATTTATTGGTGAACCCATGTCCTAGGTCCTTTATTCATCGATTTCTCTTTACCCTTGATCTTCTTAGTTTAGTTTCCCTTCCATAATATATTATTTTGTTACTTAAAAATTTAGATTATAATAATAAATTAGGAATAGAAAGACCAATCTCTCTGTGGACTTGACCCTACTTCCCTATCTGCATTAGTTAGAGGATTTAGGAATTACTTTTGATTGGGAGATACGACTTTAGCCTGTCAAAATTTTGCGCCGTTGCCGGGGAAACAGTTTTATTTTTATTTCTGATTGTTTTCAGTAGTGTAGACACCCATTTGTGTCTCCCTAAAACCAAACTCGGTGATGAGTACCTTTCACGTCGAATCATAATCGAATGAAGTGAAAGTGTGGAAAGTCTAGTGTTGCGGTTAGTTTTTAACTCTTTTCTTTCTCTCTGTTTTTGAAAACCTATTTTAAGAAAACAGCCAATCTTGTTTGGGTTGGTCCATAGCAAGGGTCCAATAATAGAATAGCTGGATGGGGCTTGAAAAGAGTTTTCCAACAATATATTATAAGCCCAATTCCGATGAATAATGAGGAAGTTATGGTTAAATTACTAAACTGGCCCGGTTTGATATTTATGTGCGGCCCAATGATCTAGAGGAGGGCCTAATATTGATTTATCATTCCTAATGCAATTAGAATTGATTTTAGTCTTCTATATTCTTCTAGAAGGTTCTTTTCATTCCTAATTTAATTAGCATTGATAAATTGACTTTGGTTGACTTTTTAGAGTTATAATCAGAATAAAAGAAGTGTTTTTAAGGAAAATACGATTTTTCCCTTCTGTATGGCTAAATTTTATCAAAATTAAGAAAATGCGTGAAATTGATTTCTAGCGCCTGACGACAGGAATAGCGCCTGGCGCTAATACTTGGCATCTAGCGCTAGCCTTAGCGTCTGGCGCTAATGTCTAGCGTCTGGCGCTAAGTCGTTTTATTCTCTTCGAAACTCTGGTTCGTTTTTCTATCCATCCGGCTGATTTTGTCTATAAATAGCCTCCTAAAACCTCCGTTTTCCATCATCAAATATCATCGACAACTATTAATTTTCTTATTCTCTCTAGTTTTCAAGAATCTCTTGATTTTTCTCTCTCTCTAGCTTTTTGCATACAAAATTCCGCATTCACAAGATCTAGAAACACCTAACCAAGTTGGAAGTTGCCTTCGCCCTAGACGTGAAAGGTTTTAATTTCTAAGGGTTTGGTCCCAAATCTTTATTTCAATTATTTAATTTATTTGTTTGATTTTATATTTTCCTTGAAGTTACTAACGCGTGTATTTTGTTATTAGAAATAGATACGAGGCATCCAAGTAAGTGCTTTAATTGATTTATTGATATTATGATATAGAAATCATGTCTAGGTTGTTATTATGATTTCTAATGTCATGTTAGGATGCTTGATGTTTTGAATGACAAAAATGATTCCCAGTATCATGTTTAGGGTAGTAGCTATAATTTCTAATATCAATTATGATTATTATGATGCTTCCTATTCTCTTCCTAATATTCATGTTAGTATCATGTTAGGGCTAAAGCTTTAATTTTTATATGTTTAGTGACATGTTAGGGTTTGTTATTAATCTTGTTAATATCATGCCTAGGATCTTGCTATTAATTTTATGCTTTAACATGATTTATGCTTATGATTGTTATTATGATTTATTATTATTATGTTGCTTGATATTTATTGTTATTGCTTGATCACGCCTTTTATGCATGTTTAAAGGGAATTTGTACTTGTAATCACGCTTAATAAGATAATTAATAATCTTTTTTAGGGTTAATATGATTATAATTCAAGTGATCGCCAATAATAGTTTTATTTGTGCATTAATATTCAACCAACATATATTAAACAGGTTTAGGGTAAACCTATTAATTGCATGTTAGTTAGAAAGCGCACATGAATACGATCAGAATAAAGTAGAGGCCTATTATTAGGGCAGGTTCAGTCTCTTTTAGGTTGGATTTGTACCTTCATCCCCAAACTACCAGTCATGGTTCCAGACCTATTGGAGTTGACGATCTTCTTAATCGTTAAGGGGTGTAACCTTCACCTCATGAACGGTTTACAAGTTCCTAAAACTTGTTGGAGACTCTTTTGCTCTATCTTTTTTCCCTTTGGACGCCACCGTACTTAAGTATATGATCACAGTGGGGTTCAAGTTTGGGGTAATGATTGAAATATTCCCTACAAGTAGTCTAGGTTATTTCCCCTTGTCTCAGAGAACGTTAGTTCTTTGAGGCATGTCTCATATTTGCTTTTTAGTTCTTCGTTTATGCCCAGGTCTTCCAGATCAGGTTATATCCCATTCGATCCTGAGATTGAACGCTCTTTTCATAGACAAAAGAATCTTTACAAGCAAATCCTGGCGGGTTCTGGGGGTAACGATAATCACATAGACCCTCCAACTGATTCTAGTGACTCAAAAGTTCCTTCGGATTCAGACTCAGAGATGACAGCACCTAAGAAGCTCAACAATTATTCGCAGCCGTCACTAACAGATTTTCCACACCTTACTCCCACTCCAGCTCTTGTTGGAGTGCAATTCGAGATTAAATCCCAATTTATCACGATGATAGAAAGGAAGCAATTTAGTGGAGATAAGGATGAAGACCCAAATCTTCATATTGCAGAATACTTTCAATATTGTAATACCATCAAGCAAGCTGGGGTCACACATGACCAAATCAGGGAGATTCTCTTTCCTTTTTCTTTATGTGGAAAAGCTAAATTATGGTATAATGGATTGAATAGAACTGCACTTGCTATAACTAACTGGTAGAATCTTAATTTAAATTTCTATAATAAATATTACCCTGCAGAGAGTACAATTTTGCTAAGAAGCGCAATTCAGAACTTTGCCCAAGAGCCAGATGAAACTTTATATGAAGCTTAGGAAAGATGCAAGGATCTACAGAGGGAGTGTCCCACCATAATTTAGCGCAGTGGCAATTGATCCAAGCCTTTTATAATGGGATTGGAAATTCATCTAGAAAAATATTAGATTCTGCAGCTAGTAGGAGGTTTATGAACCTTGATGTTGATGATGCAGGTCAAGTTATCGAAGATATGGCAATCCACAATTCCCAATATGGAAATCCTAGAGGCTTTGCTAACAAAGGGAAATATAGTGTCGACTCTGTATCCTTCTTGCAAGCTCAATTAACCTCTATTTGTCAGAATTAGATAATCTTAGTACTGCAAATATAGCTAATGTTTCTACAATTAATAATAATTCTAATGAGGCTTTTTATGAAAATTGTGGAATTGTAGGTCATTGGGAACAAGATTGCAGGAGTTCCGTGGAGCAAGTTAATGCCACTCAAGCTTATAGGCATATGACCCATACTCCAACACTTACAATCCTGGGTCCCGGCATCATCCATATCTTTCCTACCAGAGCACCAATGTTCAAAACCCACCACCTCCACAACAATCGCAGGCGCCACAACAACCACAGTAGAAATATTATCATCTCAATGCTGTCTAGAAGAACTAACCACAACAACCCTCCTCATCTTCTGACCCTGCTTTGGCAGAAAATAGAGCGATGTTGTCTAGTATGTAAAAGCACATGGAAAGTAGAAATGCTCAAATTGATTCGATCATAGCACATTATAAAATTGTAGACAATCAAATTGCACATATTTCTTCTACTCTACAAGCCCGTCAACAGGGAGACCTACCATCAGCCAACCAGGCCTACAGATCAAGCTTTTGCAATTACTCTAAGGAGTTGTTCACACCTTCACACTATGATGGGCCTCCTATGCCCAAAAATGATGAACCTGTTTTAATTAATAATGTTAATCTTGATTCTATTAAACCAAACAATGTTGCTAATAGCCCTACAAGGCTCTAAAGTAGTACTAATATTTCTGGTAATACATTGTAGGGTACAACTCCATGAAAGATAGCAACTCCAGATAAGAGCAGTAATGCTCCAAAGCCAGTTATCAAACTTTCATTCCCTAATCGATATTTAAAAATAAATTTGGATAAGCAGTTTGGTAAGTTTCTGGAGATGGTTAAAGATTTGCAGGTAACGGTTCCTTTACAGGACTAATTATACAAATTCCTGCATATGCTTAATTCATGAAGGAAATATTGACTAGAAAAAGGTATCTTAGTGAGGTAGAGATAGTCGCTTTTACTACAGAATGTAGTGTCGTAATACAAAATAAATCTCCACCTAAACTGAAAGATTCGGGTAGTTTTTCTATCCCTTGTCATATTGGCAATCTAATGATTGATAATGCATTATGTGATTTGGGTGCTAGCGTTACTGTCATGCCATTGTCTGTGTGTTTCAAGCTAAATATGGGTAAATTGAAAACTACTAATATTGCTCTACAGATATGGCCGATTGTTCTTTTAAATACCCCTTAGGTGTTTTAGAGGATGTTTTTGTTAGAGTAGGTAAATTTTATATACCTGTTGATTTTGTTGTTCTTGATATGGGTGAGGATTTGCAAACTCCAATTATTTTGGGTAGACCATTCCTTAACACCGCTGGAGCAATTATAAATCTGAAATGTGGCAAACTAACACTATCAGTAGGGGATGATAAAATTACTTTCAATTTGAATAATTCCCCTAAAAGCCCCTTGACAGAGGCGAAGTGTTTTAGTGTTAATGTGGCTGATAATTGTTCTAATAAGCCCTAAGCTCTTGTAACAGATCCCTTGGAGGCGGTATCTTGTGTTGCATCTTCTACAGATGAAATAGACAAATGGCAAAAGGAAGTGATGCAATAGAAATAGCCCTTTATTGTGTGGGTCTTGGCTTTGAAGATGAGAAGGTGGAAACAAACAAGCAAGCTGTGGAAACTGAGCCTATAATGAGTGTTCCACCTGATCGAGTTGCAATTGCTCAATCTAGTGACAACTTGAGGCAACCAACGGTAAAAAAGGGGTCTCTTGTGAGTAGTAGCGAAGAACCACAAGTTCACACCAAGGAGGATCCACCCGATAAGGTGAATTGGCGTCCCACAGGGCATGTTAGGAAGCCGCGTTGTGGTCTAAAAATCGTTTGACCGGGTGAGAAACCACCCGACCAGGCGGTAGGCCAAAGGTCCTAACTTTTCATCTCGTGGTAAGAGGGTCGTGCGGGACCTAGATAAACCAGCGCTTTACTGGAGGCAACCCAAAATTTTCTTGCTTTTTAGTCTAACTTTCTTTTTCTTTTGAGAGGAAAGAGGAGGGAGTTTATTGAGTTTTTGTACAGGTTTGAAGGAAAAGAGTTAGTCAATTTTGGAGAAAAGAAAAGTAGATATTCGTATTATTAGTGTTGTAGTGCACCCGACCGGGCGCTAGAGCTTTGTAGAAAAATGACCATAATACATCCAATCGGGTGAGGCGCGCTCGACTGCGCGTGAGATTTGACGAGTACGGAACCGGCAAGAGTTAAAGAAAAATTTAGGTTTAAATTGCCCAATCGGGTGAAGCTCCGCCCGACTGGGCTCGAGAGTGATGATTTTGGAACAAGATGCATCGCCCGACCGGGCACGAGAAGAGGGGCATATTAATCTTTAGGTCGCCCTACCGGGCAGTGTGGCACCCGACCGAGCACGAGCCCCCCCGGCTTCTCTTCTTCTTTCTTCTTCTTCTTTCTTTCTTTCTTTTCTCATTTTTTCCTCCTTCCTCCATTATTTCTCTCTCTAAAAACTCAATTTCCTCTACCTTCTCTCTAAGATTTCTCCTCCATTTCTCACCCAAATTCAAAAATAATTACATATTTTACTCCTCTCTTCATCCTCTTCCATTCTATACTAAAATTTCCCAATTCAAATTAAATAACTTTCATACCCATTTTACCAAATGGCAGCAAAGTGGGCAAGATCAATTCTCGAGGGAAGTTCGAGCTCGAGCCAACAATATGAACCGGATTTGCAGCTTCCATAGTGGCCAACTATCCGTATCACCACTCAAACACAAAAGGAACGGCTCGAAAATATCTATGAGCGCGAGGTAATCCCTTCACGGTGGTTACACCGCCCTACTCTCGAGTCTTTAGGCTTATTTGACTATGTTAGACGATTCATGAACAATATAGGAATGAGAAAATTTGTTGATATGCACTATCTTACGTATCGTGAATTGACATGTGAATTTCTTTCCTCTTTAACTGTTGTAAATAGTAAAATGGGCCGAATTTGATTTTTAGGTTGAACAATAGAAATGTTAGTTTAACTTATATTGAATTCTATAAATTATTTGATTTGGAATCTGAATTACCTCACCATTGGCATGTTGATTATAAAATGGATGATGTTTACTATGTTTTGACTGGTTTGTCGGCCCCTAACGCCAACATGCTAGTGCCAGACCTATCCATCAGCCCGTTCCTAAATTATGGCAAAGATTTTCGGGTGTTTGCTTTTTAGGTAGGAACGAACCACATAACGCCCAAACCAACGAACTTACTGTAAATGGACATCATGTGTTTGGATTAGTAAACTGAACATGGGTAGATATATTATCCACCACCTTAGTAGACATGCCACGACTAGTAACTTGGCTAGTACCCCTATTAGGTTAGGAGGCCTAGTTACTAAGATAGCAGTATAGAAGGCTGGGTTTGTTGAGAGTAGGCCCCACAGTCTCACTACTGTGGGCCGGACACCTATATGAACCTTAGGCACCTTGAGGACTTGGGTTAGGTGCGATCGGATAGCCAACAAATCCCCCACAGCCTAGTGTGTTAGGTTAGCAGCTGAGCAACCCTTGCCTATCTTTTCCCTGCCTAATCCTGACTTGACTGCTTTTCCTCCTGGGCAAGACTCTTACACCTGTGACATGCTAGTTGCCCATGCCCGGGGGCAAGCACAGCCAGTAACACCACCCTAGCCTGAGCCCATGACAACACCATCACCACCACGCATGCCTCACATGGCTCCACATCCTCCTAAGACTGACTCTGAGACAATTTGGGACCCACAGAGTATAGGTCAGGCCTTAGGACGTATAGAGAATTCACAGGGTGATGACCTTAGGAGGATGGTAGGCTCCCTTGACCAGCGATTAAGGTACCTTGAGAGGAATCAGGGTAGAGCCCTATACCCCATGTACGATGATTATGCTCGTCGGGGTAATATTCCCGACAATACTATTTACCGTGATTGGTTTCAGCCCCCACCCCAGGGATACGATAGAGATCCCACCGCTAGTGGTATTTATACTGACTATTCATCTTTCCACGAGTAGGCCAGGACATACCTTTTGGGGGACCGGTTGGGGAGGTTCAACCTAACTATTTTGGTGGTAGCTTTTCTAGTGCATATGGTGCAGGTGGCAGTGGTGGAGGATTTGGCTCCATAGATGAGGATGATGAGGATTAGCCATGCTAGGCTAGTTCCCAAGCCAATGAGGACATTATCTGATCTTGGCATGGGGGAGATTTTTGGATTTGGTATCTTTCTTCTTCTCTTTCTTTTATTTTTGGTGTGTTTTAGTTTAGGTTTATTGCTTTTTAGTTTAGGTTTATCCTTTATTTCATTCAACTCACCCTCATAAACGTAGTGTCGGTCAAATTCATGCACTGAAAAACAAAGGAAGTAATATTAAAATTTTGGGTGCATTGTGAGTAATCTTTATTTAATATTTCTCCGAAAAATTATCAATAATATATACTTTCTCTCCATTTCAAAATAAATATCCGAACTTGACTTTTTACATTATTCACATAATTTACTTTGACTAATATTAATAATTTATACATAAGAACAAAAAAATATAGTCATGTGAGTACTTATTAAAATCACCTTAGTTTATAGTTTCCGAAAATTAACTGTATAATTTATATTAGGGATATTAGGGGCCTAATCAAACATAAACGACATATTATTTTGAAATAAAGGGAGTACTAACAATTTATTAGAAACATGTTGTACATAAAAACTTATGCAAGCAATGATTCTAAATTAATACGAGTAATAATAAATAATAAATCCAACTTTAATATACAAGCAACCCATAGTCACATATACATTAATTAAAAACCTAATTATTGTACATCTAATATTAATTTAGCAAGAAAACTAACCGTCAAGAACAGGAAATCAAGCGGATTGTCTTAAATATGATTTTTTTTTTTTTTTTTTTTTTTTTTTTTTTTGACAAACTTAAATATGATGTTAGAAAAGAAGAAAACCAACTACTTGTTTAAGCAGACAAGTCATCTACATACGTATTTCAAACTTCACTCCTTTTTTTTTTTTTTTTTTTTTATGGTTTTAAAATTCGAGACCATCGTATTAATTGCAAAGCCAAAAATATAAGGGGGTTATTTGAGAGGTAAATAGAAGAAATGTTGTGATTTTAAGTATTTCTTAGTTTCTGAATTATTCTTTATTGACCCAAAACAAAAATATTAAAGCTAAGGAAATATTTTTTTTAGCTCAATACTATGAGCTCGACCTCAATCAAAATTAAATTGATATTACATATTAGTATTAAAATAATCGTAAATTTTATTTGTATACTCTTAGCTTTCACTCTATACGCTTTTTTCAACTCTAATTCAATCAATTACTTTTCTATGCTCTTTTTCCTTTTCAAACAGTTTTTATGATGTTTCATGCTAGCTAATTACAAATTATTTAGGACAAAGAATTTGTCATCGTCGTTGTAGTTGTAGTAGTAGTACTGTTGCAATTAAAATAAATGGTTCATCATATACCCCCTGAGTTTTAAGTTAATTCACCACATTCCACACTATTGGACTTACACTATATGCCCATGAATTTTCACAAAAATGCACCATAACCCTTGATAATTACAAGATGAGTGTAGTTTGGTTAATTATGACACGAAACCGATCTAGATACCTTACTATTGAAACCATACCCCTTCTTCCCCAAAATCTGAAACCACCCCAAATATCCAGATTCATCATGTCCATATGATTGGTTTTTAAGGTGGGGAAAGGAGATCTAAGGTGGTTTCGTGGGTAGGAGGGAGGGTAGTTCAAAGTTGGATTCGGGAGTGGGTGAAAGGATCTAAAGTGATTTCAGGGCATAATCAACCCTAAAGATTGACAATATAATGCCAAAATCTTTTAGTCAATAAGAATATTTGGTGCATTTTTCAGAAAACTCGAGGGTATATGGTGTATTTGAAAAAAAAATCCATACGTATATGGTGAATAAACAAAATAATCGAGGGTATATAATGAAAAGCCGTAAAATAAAAATAATCCAAATTCGAATCAATTTTTTTTATACCTACTTGTAGTGTTATTGTCCTTTAGCCTCATAATAGTTAGTTTAATAAAATTGTCCTAAGAAATCAATGCAACATTACCTAATTAACAATCTAACTTTTGGATTTGCACAATCCATTAACACAAGCAATAAGCACCTATCCTTAGGTCATAAGCTAAAAAAACTTCTTCCTAGATCAATTAAGTGACCTCACTCTCACTCAATTTCCATATATAAACCAATGCAATCTTGTGTTTATTTTCCACATTTCATACAAATCCTTATCATTCACAAAATGAGTTCCCTTAGACTAATCATCTTTGCCATGCTCCTCGCGGTTGCTTGTATGTCAAGCACCCTAGTCCAGGCTCAAAACTGTGGTTGTGCCAGTAATTCCTGTTGTAGCAGGTACGGTTACTGCGGAAACACAGCTGAATACTGCGGCGAAGGGTGCCAACAAGGCCCTTGTTACTCTTCAGGAGGAGGAGGAGGTGCTGTTACAGTCCGAAGCTTAGTAACAGACGCGTTCTTCAATGGCATCATCAACCAATCACCTTCTAACTGTCCTGGTAGGAACTTCTACAGCAGGAATGCTTTCTTAAACGCTCTCAATAGCTATCCTCAGTTCGGCACTGGATCCTCCGACGTTATCAAACGTGAAGTTGCTGCCTTCTTTGCTCATGTCACCCATGAAATTGGATGTAAGTCTATTGAATACCTTTGCTTTCCTACTCAGCTACTCATTTTTATTGTCACAAAAATCATACCAATGTTCAGAGTACATAAAATTAAGGAAATTTTGTGAAAAACCACCTTTAAAATCTTTGTTTTTTTTTTTTTTTTTTTTTTTTTATTTGTAAAAAGTCATTTTTTTAAAAAAAAAATGTTGTAAGAAAAACACCTAATTTAAAATTTTTGTTGTAGGTGGTGAATTACAACATAAATTTTAAAGTGGGTGGTGTTTTATAACATTTTTTTAAAAGGTAGTGTTTAAAAAAAAACTCAGATTTAACGGGTGAATTTTGATAAATTTTTTCCTAAATTAATTTTTCTCTATTTTTTTTGTCTCATTTGACTTTTTACGTTCTTTAAAACAACTTTAGAAATAAAAATACAATACAGAGCATCTCTAATTGTATACGCACAAAAATTATACTCATAAAAAATTGATATTCTTACTTTAGAGTATTCATTGTAACGAGTCTAATAAGATCCACGTGATCAAATTATTTCACAAAATGTTACACCCAACAAATAATTGATATCCAACTTGCTTCTTGTAGCCTTTTGCTATATAGAGGAGATTGTGAAATCAACCTATTGTGGACGAAGCGCTGCATGGTCGTGCAATCCAAACAAGCAATACTATGGCAGAGGGCCACTTCAACTCACATGGAACTACAACTATGGAGCAGCCGGTAGAAGCATTGGATTCGACGGTATCAATGCACCAGAAACAGTTGCAAACAACCCTGTTATTGCCTTCAGAACAGCCTTCTGGTTTTGGATGAACAATGTCCACTCTATTATCACCTCCGGCCAAGGGTTTGGTGCCACCATACGAGCTATCAATAGCATCGAATGTAATGGTGGTAATCCAGGTGCTGTCAATGCTCGAATTCAGTACTATAGACAGTATTGTAATCAGTTTGGTGTTTCTCCTGGGAACAATCTCAGTTGCTAAGGATGTTGGCTGCTACTCTATGCTACTAATCAACTTGTGATTTCTAATTTATGCAAAATAAAAGGATGCCTGCTACAAACTCATACAATGAGCAGGCTTAAAATATGGAATAAAAGTATTTATGATGTTACTATCTTCAAATTTCAGTTTTTCTACGTTTCCTCTGTTTTATTGTATCCTCTGACTTTTTTTTTTCACGTCAAGATATGTGGGATCCCCTTCCTACCACACAAGGATGTAGCAAAGGCAGTGCTAATAGGGCAACCGCCTTAGGCCCCAACTTGAAAAGCCCAAGTTCATTTATGAGATAAGCCCCCAATTAAAAAAAAAAAAAAAAAAAAAAAAGACAAGTCATTACAGAAGAATATCAAATGCTTTTTATAGTTCCTTCTTCCAGGATTATCCGCCTAATTAATTCACTTTCCAAAGTGATGAATAATTTGATTCTCTTTATAAAAAATTGTATCTCTTCCCAAATTCTAGTCAAATTAGTTCCATTTAAATGAAGTTGAAAATTTTAATTACCGGTTATTTTATTCTTTAACTTTCAATGAGCATCAATCTAATTGTATGTAATCCTCTTAGCATGTCCTCCATCACTCATCAAATTCTCTTCTTTCCCTTAATTTTTCATTAATATGTATAAATGATTTCAAGAATTATAAAATTGGGGGAAAAAATATCACATTGATTGGTTGTCTTGAACCGTTTCCGAAGAGGCAATGATTAATTTGTAAGTTCATATTCTTATATAATTATGTAATTTTGTAATATTGGGTTGGTTTCCATTTAAAAATTGTTTCTACTATCTTGTACTTCATATTTTTTAAACTTGGTGGTTGTGGGTGGAGGTGCTACTGCATGAGGGGTTTGTGAGGCGTTGATTTGGTGGTTAGGGAGTGGTGATGGTGGTGTGGTCGAGTGCGGTGAGGAGGAGTTAGAGAAGCTGATGGTGTCATGGTGGGTTTAAGGTTAAGGTGGCTTTATTTTATGTGTTAGTGGGTGTTGGTGAGTGGTGAAAGAATAGAAGATGCAATCACACACATATGGAATAAGGGGAACTTTCATGGTATGTATCCGGGAAAAAAAATAAAATTTTGCACACCCATTTTTTTAATTAGGGCCCCAATTTGTATCTTTGCCCTAGGCCACCAAACCTTAGAAACGAGGCTGCTACCACATAAGAGGGGGGGGGGATGAGGAGCGGAATCCAGGTCACACCTGGAGGAGATGGAGGAATTAACCATACATCCACTCCTGACACATTCGGAATTAATGAAGGAAATAAAAAAAAACAAGTGCAATTCCTAATATGAACAAACATATTTGCAAGTGAAAAATATATTTAAATATATATATATATATATATATATATATATATATATATATATATATATATATATATATATATATATATATATATATAAACTCCTAAATCCACTAGAAAAGAGTAAACGAATATTATTAAAGGAAATCATTTCGTGTACCCCTGAGGTTTTGAAAAATGCACCGTGTATGCTTGAAAACTTTCAAATGCACCGTGTATCCTTGAAAACTTTCAAATGCACCATGTACCCTTGAGGTTTGTAAAAAAATGCACCAAATACCCTGATCGTCTTACAAATGCACATATCATTTACTTATTTACTTATCAAACTAAATTACGTCCACGCACTGACTCATTTTTAATACTCCCTTTGTCCTTTTATTAGATTCATACTACTCACTATTACGTGAGGAATAAATGCTAAAATTAGGAATCTAATTAAGGGACGGAGGGATTACTTTATATTTATGGAGTAAATTGCATAAAAGCATAAATTACATAAAAATTTGAACTCCATTGATCATTCTAAATCCTAAACTTTAAGGTGTGAGAATTTGATTTATCAATTAAGTTTGCTTGATAATTAAATGTTTTAGCATTATATATACTAGCATTACACTGTAACAATTTAATAGAATTTGATGCTTATAGTCTATATGGGGTTTTAATTTAACAAAATTATCATTTGTTGTATGAGTCTAGGGGTATTTGGTGCAAATTCTTACAAACCTCAGGGGTACACGGTGCATTTGAATGTTTTCAGGGATATACGGTGCATTTTTTAAAACCTTAAGGGTACACGGAACAATTTCCCTATTATTAAAATATCAAAACTGCATATTAATGACAGCTCAAACTTTAAATAGTCTAAATAATGCCCTAATACAAAACTTAAGCAAAAATTAAAATATTAAAATCCAAAAAATGTTTAAACGCAGTTACAATGTCATGTCATAGCAAATAGCTATAACATGTCCTATTTAATATGCTTACAAGTTACAATGCATGTCCTAACAAATAACAAGTCCGAATAAAAACTGTTCAACTAGGTAACCATTAAAAAGTTTTAGCTTATGTACCGTATATAATTTGGTTTTAATTTCCTTGTGAAAAAAGTGGTTTAATTCAATTTTAAAGTGCGAGTCAAAAGTGTCTATTCGTTGCAAATAGTTTATAATGGAGCTAATATAAAAAAATCCAAACCGGTTTAATAATTTAGTTCGATTTCAATTAGAGCAACATCATCCAAATTAGAGCAAGTTTAGCCTCAAGGGTTAAGATTTGGGGTGACAACATCATCTTGAGTCTAAAGACTTATGTTTAAGACTTTCCTCATTTTTCTTCTTAAATTTCAAACAAGTATCAAGTTAAGACTTGAGATTGAGACCCACTTCACCCACTTCACTTTTATTTTTATTATTCTTTTTTTTAAAAAAAAAAAACTTTTCTACATATAATATGTCAAATATTAAAGTCTTATGGCTAAAGTGATAAATTTGTACAAGTCTTAGTGAGTTTTAACAAGAATTTGATGACATTATTTTTAATGGGGATCATCAAAATGATGTCACATCCAAGTCTAAACTAGCTATTACGGCTCTGGTCTTACCGATCCAGTTCAAGTCCGCAGTGCTTTCTGTACGCACCACGTGTCATTTAAAGAAAATAAATAAATAAATAACCCATTCAACCGGTAACCGATCATTGAGATTGAAGAAAGAAAACAACCCCCAAAGTTGGGATTATTCTAGAATAATCCAAAATTGGGATTATTAAAAGAAAATGGAGCAAAGTTGAGATTATTATTTACAATTTTTCCAAAAAATTATTGTTAAAAATCTTATGTTGATAATCTATATGATATTTTCTTAAAGATGTGATTGATTTTTATTCTTTCTATAGTTAAAGATTTAAACATTAACTAATTTATTACAATTTAGGTTGTTATTTATATTTAAGTTAACTTTACTTATAAAAGATTTTCTAAAAAGATTGATGGATGATTATTGATTATTTATTATTGATTGATTATTAATGATGTAAAGACCCGCCCATTTATTTATGAGACGGATCTAACCCATATTATAACTATGGCGGGTCATGACTTTTATAGGCCTCGTTCCTATTTCCTACCTCTCTCAGACTCAACGTTCTCCATTAAGCGCACTCAACGTTCTCCATTGAAGCGTTCTCCGTTGAATCTTATTCTTGTATCCCCCATTGAAGCAGCTTCTAAGGTAAGTTGTTTGTTGTTGTCATCATCATATCAATTTCACAATCTAGGGTTTATATTAATTTAATTATCAGTGCTTTAAGTTTAGGGTTCGTAAATTCTTAGATTATTAAACATCATATCCAAGAGATAAGAAATTTATGAGCGTAATTTGATTATTGAATCAAATATCCCTAAAAATTATGTTATTTTTTTGAGATAATTCAATAATCCAGTTCAAGTTATACGGAGTACTCTTTAACACTTACATTTTCCCATGGAGGCACTGAGCCGCCCTCTCTCTCCTCCATTGAAGCGCCTCTCTCTTCCATTGAAGCAGCTTCTGAGGTATAGATTTATTTTATTTTATTATTTTATTTTCCTCTCTTTTACAATAATCAATTTCAATTTCACAATTTATTATTAATTGTTAATTTAATATTCAGTGAAGGGCCTGTTACAAGCAATGGCAGAAACAACCCAAATTCAAAAGAGCACACCAGTGCTTCCATGGATGAGAAACCCAGTTGACATTGTTGATTTTAAGGAAACCCCTTTAACTATGCTCCCTTTTCTCGACCCTAGGTACCAACTTTTTTTTTTTTTTAAAAAAAATAAATTATAATTTGGTTTACTACTGCAATTGATATGAAATTCATTAGTTTCTACTCTTATATGTGTTTATGTTTTTTTAATTTTAACTGGTTTTTAGCCTATTAAAATTCATGTGATGTGGTTAAGTCAATATTTTTTTCTTGTTTATACTTTTGAAAATTTTGGGAAGTTTGAACTAGAAATTGTATATGTGTAAAAGAAATACTTGTACATGTAAACACCTTGAGTGACTAAGGAAAGAAAATGTGATGAAAAGGGTTGTAAATTTTGAATTTGTTATGATAAAAGAAAAGTAGGGAGGTGAAGCATGAAGGGGACATGGGATCATGACATGAAAATTTCTGATATTATGGATTAGTGTAGATATAGATATCGTCCATATCAATTTGTAATGTTGTTTCCGATTTGTTTTATTGGATTGATTGATGGTGTAGTGTATTACTTCTTTTACAGATTGGTTAAGGCTTTGAAGAATGTCCATATCTCTTCACTATTTCCTGTACAAGTTGCTGTTTGGCAAGAGACTATAGGTCCTGGTGCTTTTGAGCGTGACCTATGTGTAAACTCACCCACTGGAAGTGGAAAAACTTTGTCTTATGCTCTACCAATAGTGCAGAAGCTAGCTACCCACTCTGTGAAATGTTTGCGTGCATTGGTGGTGTTGCCCACTCGTGATTTAGCTGTGCAGGTTTGTTATTTTAGGACTCTTAGTTTCTCAATTTATCTATTTATATATTTATTCATCTAATTCTTGCTTTGACATATGATTCTATTTGTGATAAGTCTTTCCTCAACAATAATTTGTTTCCTAGTAGTTGTGCACAAATGTGCCATGTAATACATATATTGGACTAATTGGAGGTTGGAGACTGACTAGCATCTTTGATTTATTAATGACACTAGCATGTTGATTTTTTGGTGTTTAGAGAGTCACAAGGGCGGGGTGAGAATCGATCCTAGGATCTCTTGGAATCGGGAGAGAAGCTCTAACCACTTGAGCTATCCCTCACTCTCACACTAGCATGTTATTCCCTGAAGGTTCTTTACATGTATTCTGATGAAAGCTAATAACTTTTGGTTTTTAAGTTCTTGTGATCAGTGCAGCTAGCTGCTGGTCTGTTTTTTTTTTTTTTTCTTCCTCTAAGGGTATTAGAAATGCATTTACTCTGTATTGTTAACCAGATCAAATTGAATAATTTATAATTTGATCTGTTACATAATACTTTGTAATTCCAATCTTTGTTTTCTTATAGTGTTGATGTCATGTCAGAGAAAAAAATCATTTAGTATCTAATTGTTGAATTTAGAAGTGGTATAATTAAGCCAAACTTAGCTTAAGCATTTGCTGTCTTGTAAGAGAAAAATTATATTGCTCCATGTCAGCGTGAAATTCAGAAAGCTTAAAAATGATTAGGAAAAATTCACTGAGGTCCAGTTTTGTGGCTTGACTGAGCCTGCCTCATGTCATCAGCTTAAGTCATAGGATAAAATACAGAATTTTAATGTTCCATCAATGAAGCTGTATCAACCTTGTTATCATCTTCAAATGTTCAATAATGCATTTCAATTAAAGTATTATAGATATTAATTACTACCAAAAATAATGAAAACACACTTGCAAAAGAAAGGAAAGTGATTTCAATGTTTGTAGTCTAGATTAGAGATCTAAAAATGAAAGATTAAAATTGTTATATAAATTAAAGAACTTGCTTCCTATTAATTGAGGTCAGTAGAAAGTTAAACCACTTATAATAGATAATCAGAGTGCATAATTAAGTGGCATTATGGAGGTTGCTATCTTGCTGGTGTGAATCCTAATTTAAAAACGGGGGGGATGTGGTAAGTAATTGTAAAGGCATGCATTCATATACTTTTGTTTCTAAAATTTCAGGTAAAAAATGTCTTTGATGTTATTGCTCCAGCAGTTGGCTTGTCTGTTGGTTTGGCTGTCGGGCAGTCCTCACTTGCTGATGAAATTTCAGCACTAGTTAAAGCACCGAGACTTGAGGCTGGCTTCTGTTATGATCCTGAAGATCATGCAAACAAATTACGAAGTGCTGTAGACATACTGGTAGCAACTCCTGGAAGACTTATGGACCATATCAATACTACTAAAGGCTTTACACTTGAGCATCTACGTTATCTTGTAGGTAGCATACCTTTCTCCTTAATTATCTGCACACTTTAGCTTGTTGGCCCTATTAGCAGTACCAAAAATTTGCTGGATACAATTATAGTAAAATAGTTTGAGACATTTTGGTTGTTCCTTTTTGTGTTTAGTTTCCTTGTTCTCCGAAGAGCTTAATACATTTAATCATCTGTATTGGAAAAACCATTTTTTATACTGGGTGATGGAAATAAATTATAAATTATTCTTTGTCAGTTCCCATTTGCACATTTGCAAACCCCCTCTTATCCTTGCATAAATGATGGGTGTTTTATATTAATGTCTTAGCAACATGTCTTTAAATTCCCAGCTTGTTTTTGTCACGAGTAGGATTACTAAACTTGGTATATCTTATTATTCATGAATAAAAATGTGATCATGTTGGCATGTTGCTTAGTCAATCAACTTGGGATAAGCCTTTTCTATGATTAAGGAACTTATATCTCCAAAATAACTGCTTTAACTTAAGAGTGCTTAAACTTAAGAGTAAATTGCTAGTTACATCAGAACTTTCTGAAGTTTGTAATCTCAAGGCCCTTTTATTCTCACCTTGGTTTTAGTGCAAAAAGAAACATACGAATTTCGGATTTCGAACCCTGTTTAATAGATGCTGTTTGATACCATATATAAATTTGATGTTGCTTGGTTAATGGTACAGGTAGTTGATGAAACTGACCGATTATTAGGGGAGGCCTATCAGTCATGGTTACCCGCTGTGCTCAAGTTGTCCAGTCTAAATGATGAAGTGTTTGCACCTTGTGTTGAAGCCTTTTCCGCTTCAATATGTGGTTCTTTCAAAACCATTCGGAGATTGTGAGTATGATCGTGGTTCATTCCATCCCTAGCTATGTATATAATATGTGCTGGGTTAGCTCTTGCTTAACTTTTCTTTTTTGTATGCCCTTGATTTATCTTCCCTTGATGGATTGGGCCGAGCTAGTCATAATTGTGCTGAACACCTGCTCTTCTTTGATTGGATATAACATCTAGGTGATGAGAATCACAATTTAGTCAATATCCTTGCATATAATATTCTGCTATCTTTACTTGAATCAGCATTGTTTTCATTTATGAATGGTTGTACTTTGATCTTTAATTTTGCAAGAGTTCATTATGCATAATTAATGCTCTTTTGTGCTTCAGGCTTGACCTTGAGTTTATCTTCATTCTATTGCAGTGGAGTTGAGAGGGGTTTTAAGGATAAAGCTAATCCCAGGCTTGTGAAGATGCTTTTTTCTGCTACACTGACCCGAAATCCTAGCAAACTTGGTCTGCTGGATCTTCATCACCCTTTATTCTTAACAACTGGTCAATCACGTTATGCGTTTCCTGAAAAGCTTGAGTTTTTCAAAGTGGTATGGCAGATTTTTTGTACTTGTGATATTGTTGCAGTGTCAATATGTAGTTTTCTTGAAGTTATTATATTAGCTGGTGATGTGCTTGTGCAATGTTCATCTCGTTATCTAATTATTTCTGGACTCCAATTTATAGGTCTTTTTAACTTAACCAATTTTGTTCTTCATTTTTTACCTAGGCAGAAGTAGAATTTGAAGGGATGACAGTAAGGTACACAAAGTGTCCTCAATAAATTTGTATGGTAGTCCATATATATAGGTTAAGCTGCTGATGTGAATGTTACCCTAGAAGAAAAACCCTGTAATTTAGCAACTTAATAATTAAACTCTAATATTAGATACGAGGTCATGTCAGATTGTTTTAATCTTATGTTTGCCAGTATGACTAGAGCAGTTGTTCCCAACATACTATAATACTAGGGGAGGAAGTGAAGCTAGCGCACTTAATTTGCACAATATAGCTCAAACAGAGTTTGTGCTGGCATTGGACTCTCAATGCAACTATTATTTAGGTCTTTAGTATTTCATTCACTGGACATCTATTTGCCCTGGCTTTGGTTTATGCTTGGTAGATCGGCTATGGAGGAAATTTATTTTATGAGGTAGCGAATGGAGAATCATCAAGGCATATGAGATATGACAAGGTACTGTGGGAGAAACTTTGGTGGACTTTAAGCGCAGAAATATATTGACATCATGAATTCTTATGTGTTTTTAGACGAATTTCAGCCTCATTTTACAATCTTACATTTCTAGAGGAACAACAATCTATTTAAATCATCCTATTAACTCACAATAGTGTTGGCAATAAGCTTATTTTACAGGTCTATCCAAAGGAGCCAAAGACAGAAAGACCCAAATCATATTTTGCTTCAGATATGTAGTCTTATGGAAACAACCTTCTTGTTGGTACCAATGGTACACGCTGAATTAACCTCATTGTCAATCTGCGTGTTACATAACTTGCATCCCTCACCTAGCGCAGGAGCCTTGTAGAAGCACTGGTATAATGATGATTTTGATAGGTTGAATTCTCCTCTAAATCATAAATTTGTTCATTTTGATTCCTACTCCCTTTTGTTCCCTTTTATTTGCCTCGTTTTCCTTCTTGAGATGGCCTCATATTACAATGACCATGAGGAATTCCATTTCACTCTCATATTCATCCCATTGGTCTCAATAATTTTGTCTCGTATCAACTCCATCCAACCAAAAATTTATAAACTAACTAATTCCTAATGGGGCAAGCAAAGGGGGGTAGGGGGAAGTTTTTACTTTTGAACTAATCAAAGTATGCTGATAAATTAGGATTGAGGCAATAAAGTGGAAGGATGCGTTTTAGCTAGGGAAACCCAGCTTTCTCATTTTTGTTCAAGTCTCTAATTCTCTATGTTCTCCCTTTACTAGTTTATTGTTAGGAAAGATAACCCCATGAGATTTTGCTTACTTCATCGACAACAAACAAAGAGGATCTCCTGCCCCTGCTTCATTTAGGGTTTGCAGCATTGGCATTTGGGTCGTAGCTTCTAGTACGCCTACCTTATTATGGCTTCACTTGATTTGTGGTGCATGCCACCTTCGGCCTCCATGTCAAATTGTCAATGTGGTTATGACTTTGAGCATAGAATTTTCCAGTGTTATGTACAGGGTCTGTGACTGTAAGACATGGTCTTATCCATGTTGTTAGACTTTTTGTTACTGAGTCAATATCACTGGTGCCATTTTACAGGAATAAGGATTAACTATACATTTAAATGAGCCATCTGATTTGTTCATTATACTCCAAAGATTACGAATAATCAAGTGTTTGATTTTCATTTTAAGATGGACTAATTAAAAAAAAAATAAATAAATAAATAAAGCCACCAAATGGATGCTGTAATACAATATATGATACGATGGTGATAGAATTCTTCAATTTGTCATTGTGATAGATTGGTAAATCCTGGATTTATAATGTGAATCTGGATTTGATTTTGCTGAGATTCTCTGTTGTACGTTATCTGTGCAGATTTGTGAATCAAATGATAAAGCACTGTATCTAGTTGCCCTTCTTCAAAAGTTAAAAGGCGAGAAATGCATTGTTTTTACCTCGTCCAAAAAGATGACCCATAGGCTATGCAGCTTGCTGAAATGTTTTGGAAATCTTGAAATGAGGATCAAGGGATACTCAAGTTGTCAACATCAGGCTGTGAGAAGGTGTGCTCTTTGCCCCTCCTTTTGGTGCATCTTAAGAAATACACTTATATAATACATCATTATTGCTTTTTAAACAATATACACTTATATAATGCATCACTAATGCTTTTTTAGAATATGTAAGAAGAAATATTGATACGAAGTAATCAATTCTTTAAAGCAACTAATTTTGCGTTAGATTAATACTTATTGTTAGTCAAAACAGGCACAAACGGGGCGTTTGGTTCGCAAACTGGTATGGGGTTGGAATCAGGAATAAAACCATAATGGTATGGGTTTGGAACTGGATTCTTAATACCATATGTTTGGTTTGATTATAAAATGCAATGTTTTTCTTTTATTTAATGCCTAAATGTATGGGAAGGAGGCAAACCCACCTCCCCCCAAGGTTTCTAAACCCCATACCTTGAGGGTTTGAGGTATGGGTTTGAAACTCATAAAATCATAAAACAAACATTAAGTATGGGTTTAAATCATTCTAAACCCATACCTTATACCTTAATTATGTGAACCAAACACCCCAGTGAGTTGTGACAGAGGATGTGGTGGAATAAGTGAATTGTTGCCGTAAGCATTTGACGTTCTTGGGAATTATTCAGTACCCATAAAACTGAGAAAAGTTGATGGCTGTATCCTGTATCTTTTAGCGAGAGAATTTATTTGCTGGTGAAGACCTATTAATGGATAAGCAGTAAAATTCTTATGAAAAAAAACCCACGATAATTGAAGTAAAATTTAATGCATATCTATTTTGCATATATTTGACATGTTCAGAGGTTTGTTATATGGAGTTATTTGTAATTTTTTTTACTGAAGCAAGTAGTATTGATATAATACTCAAAAAAAGTTTATTTTCCTCATCCCCCCCTCTCCTCAGTCATACACCTTGAAAGTCAAGCATACCCATGAAGATACTATGCGTTTATCTTTGGTGTACTATAGAGTTCTACAATTAAACTCTGAAGATGGGGGAATGATTTGATTGGATATACCATAACCATGGCTTGTAATAACATTCTAGTACTGTTAGTTTAAGTCCTTTCCCCGCCTTTTCTCTTTAGCAAATAAGGTTTCGCATTTAATGCTGGTAAATCTACTTCTGGATTTAGATTGAGAAATGGTTTTACATGGATTTACTTCTTAGATCACATCTGCTATGTTTTTGGTGTATTGCTTTCTGCTTTTTACTGATATTATTAAATTGATCGCTTGTCTCACTAATGTGTATGTAAAAGGCCATTAGTTGAATTGTAAATTTCTCATGTTTTGCAGCAAAACACTAGATGCATTTCGGAAAGGAGAAGTGGAGGTGCTCATTTCTTCTGATAACCTGTCCCGAGGAACAGATGTTGAAGCAGTAGCAAATGTCATTATCTATGATGTGCCACGTTACATCAAAGCATATCTTCATCGTGCTGGAAGGACTGCTAGAGCATTTCAAATAGGGCGATGCTTTACATTGCTTCTAAAAGATGAAGTAAGCTGCTAAGCGTTTCTTTGACATATACTTATGTTTTAATGGTTGAAGTTATCTGTCGACAAGTGTGAAAAGGGAAGTGTTTCATCTGAAATAAAATCAAGGATGTATGTATGCCTAGTTAAGTGATGAAATCTTTGTTTCTTAAACCATGATGCCCTCGAAGAATTGAAAAGGAATACCATACTGGAAAATTTGAAGTACCTGTATTCCATGATTTTACTTTGAACTACTATCCTGAATAGAACTTCTTGACATTGAAAATGATAAAAGGTCAGGATAGGTTGTAGCGGGAAAAGAAACAGAAGTGAGTGTGTTTAAAGTGATGTGATGGAGAGAGTAGGAAAAAAAAAAACTTTTTCTTGATTAGGAAAGAGATAATTGTTTTCTTTTTTTTTTTTCTTTTCCTGTGCATATTTCAGAGTATGGAAGTTTGTTTTGGGATGGAGGGAGTGTGGCATGATCACTAGATTTGCATAAACTCATTAAGTTTTTATCTCTCTAATTCAGATGAAGAAGTTCAAGGCACTGCAACAGAAAGCAGAGATCAGCTCTACAGTTTTCCCTCTTTCTTCGGAGTCAATTCAGTCCCTTCAGCCTGCTTACACATCTGGTAATTTTGTTACCTACATGCAGGCGTGTATATTATGAATGAAATGTGATGTTTCTGAAAGTTTATTTAGTTTCTCCGTGCCTTTTAATTTTTTCTAAAATGTTGCAGTACTTGGATTAAATGAATTTTCTTCAAATTTTAAATTCTTGAACTTCTTTAATATATCCACATTACATCAGTGTTGTTTACTTCTATTGTTCCCATGATAGAATGTACCACTGCTCCTTTCAATCTATGTGCCTTTTAAATCTTCTGTATTAGGATGTGTGTTATGGTTCATGTCCACTATTTGTATTCTGATCTGTCATGATTAAACCGTTCTTCTTCTCTTTAATTATTACAGCTTTTGATAAGCTGAAGGAGAATGTAGAATCAGAAGCATTTCGTAAACGCAAGGTTAACTTCAAGTCTACAAAGCCACGTAGAGCAAAGACAGCGAAGATATCCAAGGAGTAGGCATATAAATATTATCTATTCTCCAACAAGAGCATCACACCTGTGGTGACGGGTGGAATTTGCAGTACCGGGAGTGTATACTAGCTGAAAATGTGCCTGACTGATCATGACTGACTTTTGAAACCAGAGTAGCAAATGATAGTGATGTGGGTGAAAGCCTAAAGAGGAATTAGCGAGTGTTTTAGTACTTGTGGTATTATGGGTTGTGTACTCGAAGAGCTGGGTTTCAAATTTTGAGTCGGTTTTAGGATAGCAGTTAAATTTGATGTACATTGAATCGGATTCAAAAGATATTAGGATCTTCTCAATATTTATTTCTCTTAGCAGTCATAGAGAAATTGCATTTGTCGTACATCAATTATCCACCAGAACTAACACCAAAATGTCATCTCCTAACTAGTTATGCTTCATTATTTTTTTTCTTTGAGGACTGGTTGTGACCGACGCAAATAGTAGCTTCATAATTATTGTGGATAATTATCAATAATACACAGGATAATTTGTTGAATGACTAATTCAAAGTTAGTTACTATTTAGCTAAGTTTAGTCGTTAGCAGTAACTTAGGATGTTAATAAAGTTATTTTAGTGGTTGTTAATGGGTTAGTAAGTTTATGCAGTTAGGAAATGGGATTATGCTTTCTATTTTTTAGTTTGTTTTGTTAGTATGTTACACTATTAAAATTTATGTACTGTGCTTTTTAATTCAAGTTAATCAAATCATCTTTTGCTTTCTACTATAATATATTGCTTCAACATTGTGGTATCAGAGCCAATTGTTTGATAGATAGACATGGGTGCTATGTGTGTGGGACAGTTCCCTCAAATGTGTGACCTCGCGATTGTAGTGCCTTGTGTTGAAAGTCCTCATGATATTGTGGCTTAGCAGTGTGTCCCATGTTGATAGCGGTGGTGCAAGGTAGTTTCGCAGGAGGGGAGGCCATGAGTAATGTGGTCCTTGGTTTGAGGGAGATTTGCTAGGGTTGTTCATCTCAAGTCCCACATGGAATGAGTAAGGAGGTGAAGAGTTCCTTATAAATGAGTGCACACTCCATTAGTACGAGGCCTTTTAGAAAAGTGCCTTAAATAAATTCGTGCGGGTTAGGCCCAAAGTCGACAATATCTAGAGGTGATCAATATCGGCTCGGCCCGATATGGCCTGAAAATTGGACAGGTTTGGGTAAGTCTAAAAATGCAGTTTTAGTTAAAAGGCCTGATAAGTCCGCCACTTTTTTACGAGTTTGGGCATGAAAAATTATGTTAAGCTCCGACCCAATTTTTTTTATTATGGAGTGGAGTGTCCGTGCAACCCGTCAAGGTGGGTGACCCGGGCCCAACATAATTTACATAAGATTGCTATGAGAACAAAAAACGAAAGTCAATATGATAATTTTTTTGAAGGAAAGGTAAATATGATAATTTTTATGTTCTCTATAGGAAAATGATCTTGGATTTCTTTTCATTTCTTTCTTTTTTTTTTTTTTGAATTTTTTTTTTTTTTTGAAATTTTTAATTATAATTGATCTTGATGCATTAACATACATAACATCCCAAAGCATATTCTTCTCACAAAAGAAGTATGCCTTGGATCTCATTAATGAATATGGTTGAATATTAGACCAAATGTATTACAGTTCCCTTGCTCACTCAAAAGTTGTTAGTAGACCAAGGTGAACCTTTAGTATTCGCAACCAAATATCAAAGGGTAATAGAAAAGCTCATACATATTATAGTAACCAATTTCGCCAATCCTCTCCATATGCATGAACTCAGGCACCCATGTCCTACACGACTACGTGTCTAAACATTCGATTCGATTATTTTGTTAAAAAAGTTCATGATTTTGATCTAAATATGAAGTGTCCAATTGTCATACACATGTCCGAGTATCAAAGGTCTGACATGAGTTCTTGAGGTGAAATAAACAACACATGTAACATACTTCTCTCCTCATTTTTAGTTAGCTCATCCAACTAGTACGTGACATGGTTATGCATTTGCAAGCTAAAAAATGTTGTACAAATCTCACAATTTTCTTAAAAATAGAATTTTCAAAGTTGCTGGGGAGGGTGTCCCTTGTCAAGAAAATCAACCATTAATTTTCGCATTTTGTTAAGGACATCACTTGTTTTAGGGGTGTTCATAAATCGGTCCGGACTGAAAAAATGGACCGGACCGAATTGGATTCCGGTCTTCGGGTCTTGAAATTCATTTTCTCGGTCTTCGGTCCGGTCCGGTCCAAAACCCTATAAGGCCGGATCAATTTTTTTTATAAGATTGTCTTAAACATCTAGTTCGCATTGTTAAGAAGAATTTACAACTTGTGAAAGTTGTGAGTATGGGTGGGCACAATTATTGGTAAGGAGAGCCTAGCAAGAGCAAATGGGTTGTTAGTGGGAAAATGAATCAATTGGTCTACTGTTTACTTCTAGTCGCAACACCTTGACATTTTCCCACTTACAACTCATTTGCTCTCGCTAGGCTCTTTTTATAAATAATTGTGCCCACCCATACTCACAAGTGTGACAACTTTCACAAGCTGTAATTACTTCTTAACAATGCGGTGAACTAGATGTTTAAGACAATCTTATAGCAACACCTTGATATTTTCATAGCTCGCTGGCGGCTGACTGTTTTGCTCGGTTTTTCCTGTCATCGCTGGCGAGCACCCCCTTTTCCCCTGCAACTAATTGCTGTTTTCTGAAGTTATTAAGTCACAGCAAGGGGAAGTATAAATTTGGTCAGCCTAGTGTTGCGGGTGGTGGCGTTCACTAAGGCTAGCGTCGTATAGGTTTGTTGCTTTTGGGTATGTTCGCTGTTATTAGGAAAATCAGTTTTTTGTGTTCGGTAAGGGGAACAATCGCTCGAATTGTTTGCTCAAGCTGAGAGAAGGTGTCGGAGTCTATCTTCTTTCAATAAAAAGGACCGCGCATAACCAGTGGCTCTCCATCACCAGCTTTCTTATATTGGTTTTTCTTTTTTTCTAAGTCTTTTACTTTTTACTTCTGTTTTTGGGTTTTAGTTTCTGTTTATGTTGTTAGCTTCTTGCTTCTGGTTGTTTCAGTGGGGGCGCCGAGTTTCTTGTTCTGTTTTGTTATCCTATCTTCTTGGTATCCACTCGTTGTGGGGGTGGTATTTTGATATGGATATATGTCCTGCTTTTGCTGAGTTCCATCTTCCTGATGGGTTTAATGACAAGCATGTTGTTCGTATCCTAGATTCCTTAGCTTGTCCAGATGATGTTTTGGTCCGGTCTAAAGTCTTTAAGGAAGAAGGAAATTCCTTATTTCGGGATCGAAATATGATTTAGCGAGCAAATTACTTTGTTTTAGTTCACCATCAACTCTGGAGGCTTATGCTATATTACGTTCTTTAGCCTTTGCTTTGAATCTCAACCTGGCTGCGTGTGCCCTTAAATTACAGGACTTTGATAAAGTAATTAGGTTATGTTCATTTGTGTTGAAGTATGATATCTATCATACCAAATGCTTGTTTAGGAGAGCTTTAGCATTTAAGGGGTTAGGTGATCTCAATTCTGCCAAATTGGACCTTTGCAAGGCAGTTTATTGTGACTCAAAAAACATGGAAGTGTTGAATAAATTACAGAAGGTTGAAAGGCTTTTAGGTTGTACCTCTTCTTTAAACCACAATTTAGGTAGCTCAAAGACTACACCATTTGTTGAAGCTGTTTCTTTAGACAAGCAAGAAGTTTGTGACATGGAGATCATTCCAGAAGTGTTGCCTAGTGGGGATGTCATGGAATGTGATGTTGATTGTCCTGTTGTTGGGGTTTCTTCGATAGTGTCAGATGAAAAACTTTCTAAAGGTATGGAAACTGAGTATCTTCCGGGGTCAATACAGCGCGATTATGATTTGCAGCAGCACCGGTTCCAATCCCGCGGATGTTTTGGTTCATCTCTTCAGATTACATCCTTTAATTTGCAGCGTCTTATGCACGGTGATGTGCTTAGCTTTTTCCATTCAAGGTCTATGTCAGTTGTGACGGTTCGGGTTGTCCCGAGGAAAACTCAAATCTTGACAGAGGTCCCCCTAGGTGAAAAATCCAGGGAAGGAGAGATCTCTATTCCTTCGGTTCCTCCTTTCTGTGGTTCGAAGCACCAAGCGGTTCCTTCTCAAAAGGTCTTGTGTGCTTCTTCTCAGTCATCCACAGTTGATGTAGCTGCAATTCGGGTGTCAGAAGAGTTGGTCAAGATCCCGTTAGTTCAAGTAAGTCCTCCAATAGAAGCTGCTTCAGGCAGTTTTCAAAACTCAAGGCTTAGGTTATCGTCTCGCGTGAATCGCCAACGGACCTTTTCTCATTCTCGCCTTCAGGTATCAGGTAAGATGGATCGTGACAGGGTTATTGCAGGTTACAAGATGGTTCGTGTGGGCACAAAGCGACATCGAGCTTCGCCTCTTGATCTAGAGTCCAACAACTTTGCTCGTGAAAAGCATGCTCGCATTGGATCTTTTTGGGGTTTTGTTACTTATTGTAGTTATAGTGTGTGTGGTTCTGTTAGTTAGTTACTTGTTTTAGGTTGTTTTATTTTGAGTAGACCTTTGTCAAAAAAAAAAAAAAAACACCTTGACATTTTCCCACTTACAACCCATTTCCTATCACTAGGCTTTCCTTATCAGTAATTGTGCCCACCCATACCTAGCTCACAACTTTCACAAGTTATAATTACTTCTTAACAATGCGAAATAGATATTTAAGACAATCTTATAGAAACGAAGGGAGTATTCAACTTTAATTTAATCCTCCTTAAATTAAATATTGCGAAAGTATAAATTGAAACGACTCTAATGAAATCTAACATAAATAAGTTTGGTCAACATATCAATCAATAAAAAAGGTCAACTATAAGAATGTGGATAGTGTACATTTTCACGTGTTGCAACTAAAATTGAATGAAGCAAATACATAATACAGTTTTTTCGCAAAATTATTCTCTTATTCCATGGTATTATCTATTGAATATAATTATTCAAAAACATACATCTATAATATTATTAACACCCAAGAATTACATGTTATGATTACATGTGACATCTTTCTTTCCACAAAAAAAAAAAAAAAAAAAAAAAAAAAAAAAAAAAAACTAGGGCATGACATGGAGGCTAATAATGTTTAACCTACTTAAAAAACTTTTTATATGAGTAACCTCTCTCTATATAATATTTTTTAATTTAATAGAAAACTCTTCATATCTATCTATCTATCTATATATATATATATATATAACCAGCAAGTAATTAATCACACTAATGGTGATTCTTTGGATACTTGTATTCTAGATTGAATAAGCATGAAACAATCTTATAGAGTAATATTTCATCATTAATTATTTGGTTTGGTAATGTAAATAAATAAAATTTACATGTTATTAATCTTATTCTTATATTTCTCTAACTCATCATGCGTCCATTAAAAGAAATCGTTTGCCAAAAGTTCTTATTTTGTAATTTTTTTCTTTATCTTTTGTATTGGCTTGAGGTTCTAGTATGTGCTTATAA